GTCAAGCACAGCTGGTCACAGTGGGTTATAACGAACACGTACGTTATACAGTGGATAGGAACGACAGTGTATTGCTGTCACATCACCTTGAAAGTGGGTTGAATGGAGGCAGTTGCGTAATTTGTGGCAATTGCATCAATCTTCAGAGGAATCGTCTTTGATAACGTCACCTTTCAAGGTGACGTTAATATATTAGTTCTCTCTCTTGGACAACTAGGTGGTTTATTGAGAGTAAATAGAAACTTACGAAGCTATATGTGTTGTTGGGATCGAACTGTTGACAACCCAACACATTTAATTTAGGTTTATTCTGAATGTTTATCCTATGCTTCGTTGTACTACAACGAAGTACATGAATCTGAACAGGTGTCAGCCTCAGCCTATTGTCAGGTGCGACACTTTGTGCTGAGGTCTGACAAAGGATAAGAAAATAAGATGGTATAAAACTTCATGGATATATTCGGATATATATCTAATCACCTTATATACAATATATTACATATATACATATAATAGGGAAGGGAGTACCACCTCTGGCTGGAAGAAGGGGGACCCATAGCCTCGGAGGAAACCACACATAACGCACTGGAGGGAATGTAGGTCCCCTCCAATACAGTTTGTGTGCTTTTCTCCTACCACCCCCTTTCCCTTTTTTTCCCCCCTTTATTGTGTATTTAAAGGTTACAAAACATACAAGACAAATGCCTAAAGGTTATGGATCTTTAAGATCCTCCGCTTCTGGACAGGAACAGAGGACGCAGCAAGCATTTCATATAATATATATATATATATATATATATATATATATATGAGAGAGAGAGAGAGAGAGAGAGATATACTACGACCATGCTACGGTCGTCTCTTGTCCGATTGATCTTCCCACTTATAAATCATCTACTTTCCTGCAATTTGTACCGCTATCAGGAAAATCAGCGCGTTACCTCCACGCCGACCTCTAAATCTCAAAGCTGTTATCTTCCATAACTTTCAAGAACGTCGACCATGCCTCGAGGTCCTCTTCCTTCGTGAGGGTGGAGCACACTAACAGTTGGGTCCGTTGGTCACATCCAAACGCGACGACAGCCTGTTGACTCAATGGAGGAGAGTAGATGTCTGTCTCTCCACATGCTCCTGCCAGCACACGTTACCTCGCCCGGTGGTTCTGATTGGCTAACAGAAATTCCCGCCACCGGACGAGCCATACCGTGCTGACCGTTAACGACCTCCATGGTTGTTAACCTCGTTCTTCCTGTAATAATGAACGTATGACTTAAATAATCGTGCCTTTGTGCGATGAAATAACACGATACGATATATCGTAACAGTGTATCTTAAGGATTCAGTGAGAATCAAGTCATTGATCCTCACTGAACACAACACTAGTATGTTTATGGCACTATTGAATGACTTGTGCGTCTGGTGCGGCAAGACATCGGCCTGCACTGATCAGTGAAGCGAGGTCAGTCATGGTGGGCAGACGTGCGACCTTACTGCTGCGGGTAGCTGTCGCCCACCAACAGCTGCTCAGATCACTGTGTTACCTCACAAAGGGAATAGTCACAGTGCATAGCTACGTCTGCCACTTATCACAACACACTGTGAACGTTTCCGTCTCCAAACGTTCAAGGCGTCAAAACTACAGTTTGAGGTTATATCAGAAACTTTATATGCAACGACTTAATCAAATACGGTTTGATTATTTAATTAAATGATAATGGACTAAATAATGACTAAACAGGTGTACAGCAGTCTAAATCACTTACATTTTTCCCATAAACCAAGCAATATTTAGCTAACAATGTGAGGGGCGATATACATTAAAAAAATAATGCCGTTTTCCATTAAAACGGCGAGACAGATATTGGCCAAATATACATCACAAAATTAGGCTGATAAGACAATTTGAAGAGCTAATATAAACTGCACTGGGAGCGAGGCGAGTCGTATTACACACAAACACGCTTGGGATTTTGCCTCTAATGAAGGAGAGACGAATTTATTAGGCTGCCCTCAAACATCCTGTGAGGAGCGACAGTGGATGACAAAATCTGTCTAGATGGCCCCCAAGTGGAAGCAGGAGTGACTGAGGCCAGCCCGTACTTTCGAGTTTTTACCACAACGGGCAGAAAATGGTATACACTACTGAAACACCCTAACTAGCCTAGCCTAGCCTAACCTAGCCCAGCCCAGCCCAGCCTAGTCTAGCCTAGCCCAGCCCAGCCCAGCCTAGCCCAGCCCAGTCCAGTCCAGCCCAGCCCAGCCCAGCAACCCATGTTTGATAACTTGAATGCTTGTGAGCCGCTGTGATGGGCTGTGAGCTTGGCTGGTTGATTGATGGGGTATTAAATAGCATGGTTGGTTCGTAGCCTATTTAATAGCTTGGTTCTTTGATGGGTATTTTAATAATTTGGCTGGTTATTTGATTGGTTATTTAATAAATTGGTTGATAGATTGATGGCATTTTAATAATTTGGTTGGCTGGTTGATGGGCTATTAATAGCTTATCTGGCTGATTGATGTGGTGTCTAATAGTTTGGCTGATTGATTCAATTGGTTGTTTGACGAAGGTTAGGAATACTGTAATAGTTTGTTTATAAGTGGAGACTTCGTAACAATTCTATTTGTTTATATAAAAAGTACTTTCGAGAGTTCAAACGTTTTCAACCTATGGAGAAAAAACAACAGGTTATTGGTGTGATTTTTTTTGGGTCCATGAGAAGAATGAACTGAAAACACAGAAATGTTCACCAGCATGTTCAAGGTCACGGGCCAACCTGTGCTCACGCTCTGACACTCCGTACAAAACTGCAACTGTTTGGCCTGACCAGAAACACAAAAGGCTCAACTTTCTCTCCTATCCCAAAGGTTTCGAACCCAGGCAACCCCCCCCCCACCCCCTCTTCCATAAGTTACCGGCGCCGATGCACGGAAAAAGTCAATATTGCAAAGCTTTAATTTTTTTTATTGAAAACCTCGCAGTTGTGACTGGATGCTAGATTCCGTTAAAAAAAGGTATTGGGTGAGAGAGGAGAGGACAGGCTGCTAGGTGTGCTTTTGTTTTAAAGAGCAGCGATGACATTAGCGACGATTTGGTTGGGACAGTCTTCTTGATCGGGGAGATGAGAGTTGAAGGTGAGGATGGCAGACCCCCACAGTTTTAATGTGTGTGTGTGGTGTGTGTGTGTGTGTGTGTGTGTGCGTGTGCGTGTGCGTGTGTTCTAACCTATATATGCTTGCAGGGGCGAGCATGTCCACCTTTTCAGTCGGCGGTCAATTATATTTGTGAGGGGTGGTGAGGCATAGATGTGCGTACGCACTTCATTGATTTGATATTGTTCATTTATTATGCACCCCATTCTCATTCCTGAGGGTGGTAGGGGAACCCTTAACCCACCCCGTGGGTGGCAGGGGAAACCCTACCCATCTTATAGGCTATAGTGTAAAAGGTTTCAGAGGCTCAGGAACTGAACCCCCCAAAGTTAATTTACTAAGCAAGTTAGCCTTCATAAGCTACTTACGTAGTTTAATGTATATATCAACTGCCTTTTATAGCATAATGAGTTTAAGAACTGGTTAGTTGTCCATGGGGTAGCGGGATCCTGCTCCAGAGCCCCGTCACCTTTGGTATTGTAGCTGATGCGTTTATTACTCTCGACGTCTCATACTGTCAGGTTCATTAAGTATGCCTCTCTCCATTTAAGACCATTCTGTCTCTCGGTTACAAAGTTCTCTTCAGATGTTCCACTGTCCTTTTTTCTCTGATAATATTCTCCAGCATTGTACAGTGGATGCGTGTCCATGATATGGGTCTATAGTTTAAAGTTCCACGTGTGTGTTATTTCTGTGATTTAATAAGTACCATGTGTGTGTGTATTGTTTTGTGTGTCCCTAGTTCCCCATTTGTTATTGACACATTATCGACCCTTACTCAGAGGGTTGTATAGTATCTCTGCTGCTTCTTACAATACCAAATGGGACATCTAGTCTATTCCCACTGTTTTGTTTACTTCTAATTCATCTTGGTGTTTCTTTACCTCCTTAGTTACTTCTGTCACTTTACTTAGTTATTTTACTTAGTCTCATCCGTCACTTGTACCAGACCTACGCTCTTCCCCCATCTTGTAGACCTCTTGGAATATATCTGCCGAATTCTTAGCAACCCTCTAAGTTGCCTTCTGTGAAGTTTCCATCTTTTTCCTACATTTTTAATAACATTATCCTTCACTGTTGATTTACTTCGTATATGGATTTGTAATGAACGAGACTGAGCTCTGACTTTAGGCACCTTCTCGCTTGAAAACTGCCTACTTGCCTGCTTCCATCATTCTTTTCTGGCCCTATGGAATGCCTCCATCTTCGAACTGAGGGGAGGGGAGGGAGGGGGAGTGTTGTACTTGCCTATTTGTGTTTGCTAGGGGGTTGAGCTTGGGTGGTGAGGGAGGGGTGGTAAGAGAGGTGAAAGGGAGAGGGGAGTGCAGTGAGAGGGGAGGAGAGGGGCAGGGGGAGTGCAGCGAGAGGTGAGGGAGGGGGCGTGCAGTGAGAGGTGACACGGAGGGGGCGTGTAATGAGAGGTTAGGGAGGGGGCGTGCAATGAGAGGTTAGGGAGGGAGTGGGGAAGTGCCGTGAGAGGTGAGGGAGGGGGGGGGGGAGTGCCGTGAGAGGTGAGGGAGAGGGGAGCGCTATGAGAGGTGAGGGTGGGGGGTAGGCGGTCAGGCAGTAGCAACAATAATTACGCGTGGAGGGATTGGAGAGATGCGAGCACTGGTGGCGGGGGAGCGTTTCCATAGTTACCTGTGTTGTTACCTTGTCCCGATCTTGTACTACCCCCTACCACCCACTTCCCTCTCCCTCCCCCCGCCCACGCCTTTTTTCCTGGGCTCTTGCACATCCGCCTTACGCCATCGTGGGACTGAGTGTTGCTAGCTGCTTGCAGGCGTGATCTAGTTTGTTTTGAACACGTTGAATTAGACGGCGGTGATATTTAGTCGTGGTCGGATCTGTTGGTAGTGTCTGAACACAGGTTAGACTCGCTGATACATTATGGTGTCAGCTGTAGGTGCGCCAGGGAAGCGGATCCTCGCAGGGAGGTGCTAGCCACCGAGCCTCGCGTGTTTGTATCTGTGAGAGCAACAATACCGCCTGCAGCTTCTCTCTCTCTGTGGCCGCATCGCATCTCGCCACCCTGCCTACCTCCCCCACCAGCTGCCTACCTCAAGTTTGCGCTTCAGCCCTGGGAAGGGCGCGCGCGCCTGCCTGCCTGTATAGGCGCTGGCTCCAGTTGGCTCGATGGCTAGTGCGGTGGAGGAACGAATGTCTGCTTGCTCCGTGGAGTAGATGGTGCGCGCAGCAGCATAGTGATGGTGACGGGGTTAATGACTGTACCGCCGCTGGTTATGGTGGTTTGGTGGCAGCAGCAAACACAGGCCTACACCATCATCACCATCACCAAGACGGTCACTACTTCTGCCTCGACCTGACGGAGCCTGCGGCGCCGCCCCTCACCATCATTCCCGACCTCCTCCTCGCCTTAACGTCGCCCAGCATCACCTCTCGCTAGAAAAAAAAGATTGTATGTCCATCTGCTCAGGTGTTAATCGTGTCACTGGTTCCATACTTGGTGATAATGGCGGCCGGAGGTCACCTCTCGGGGGTCGACACGTTCACCCACTGCCCGGGGTCAAGACTTGGCGATGCGTAACGGCGTAGCGGTGACCCGGTGACCATGAGAGGAGTGCCCACTTATCTCTGCTACCACCACTGCAACCACCACCACTACAACCACCACCACTACAACCACCACCACTACAACCACCACCACTACAACCACCACCACTACAACCACCACCACTACAACCACCACCACCACTATCAACGTCACATCTACCCATTACATGGCTACTATGAGCAAATATGAGTAACGGAACCATGGTCATTTACCGGAAGCTACATCTTTCTCAGTCGGCAAGATGACATCTCAAGATTGCATACGAGAACAAAAACTGTATTGCTAATGGCACAGTATACAGCTAAAAGGATGCCAGCCACATCTGCAGTCAAGTTATCGGTAAATGTTGATATATTAAGTTAATATGGCAGGCCTCTCCCATGATTGGTTTTGCACTGGAGGGGGAAGGGGTACTGTCGGTCCTGTACCTCAAAGTCAGCTGTTTGGGTTTCACGAGTAACTTAAAAGACAGTGTGAAGTGTTTACTAGTCTTCAGTAGTAGTGTCTTGGTGGTCAGTGCCAAGTGTCTGATTGGTTGACCTTGAAGGTCAATGGTTGAGTGGTCAGTGCTATTGGTGTATGCTAGTCTTCAGGAGTGGTGGTAGTTTAATAACCTCCAGAAGTGCTTTTGAAAGTCTATACTCTTATTTTGCAAGAATGTTTTGGAAGTCGGTGCCAGTTCTACTCTTGATTACAAGGCGTGCCTCCAGATGCCTTGGTGGATGTCTATCCCAGGTGTATGAAAGCTTCCAAGAGTGATTAGAGGTCAGTACTTCCAGGCTTGATATGAAGGTGTCTTCCAGGAGGCCAGGCTGGTCTCCCAAGAGTGTCATTGTGGTTGGTGGCAATTGTACACTTAACATGTAGGAATGCACACATTACCTTCAAAGAATTCTCTGTTTACATTAGCCTCCAGGAGTGCCAGGCATGCACTACCCCCCCTGGGAGTGCCAGGCATGCACTAGCCCCCCTGGGAGTGCCAGGCATGCACTACCCCCCCTGAGAGTGCCAGGCATGCACTAGCCCCCCCTGGGAGTGCCAGGCATACACTACCCCCCCCTGAGAGTGCCAGGCATGCACTAGCCCCCCTGGGAGTGGCAGGCATGCACTAGCCCCCCTGGGAGTGGCAGGCATGCACTAGCCCCCCTGGGAGTGCCAGGCATGCACTAGCCCCCCTGGGAGTGCCAGGCATGCACTAGCCCCCCTGGGAGTGCCAGGCATGCACTAACCCCTGGGGAGTGCCAGGCATGCACTAGCCCCTGGGGAGTGCCAGGCGGGCACTAGCGCCCCTGGGAGTGCCAGGCGGGCACTAGCCCCCTGGGGAGTGCCAGGCATGCACTAACCCCCGGGGAGTGCCAGGCATGCACTAGCCCCTGGGGAGTGCCAGGCATGCACTAGCCCCCTGGGGAGTGCCAGGCATGCACTAGCCCCTAGGGAGTGCTAGGCATGCACTAGCCCCCTGGGGAGTGCCAGGCATGCACTAGCCCCCTGGGGAGTGCCAGGCATGCACTAGCCCCCTGGGGAGTGCCAGGCATGCACTAGCCCCCTGGGGAGTGCCAGGCATGCACTAGCCCCCTGGGGAGTGCCAGGCATGCACTAGCCCCTGGGGAGTGCCAGGCATGCACTAGCCCCTGGGGAGTGCCAGGCATGCACTAGCCCCCCTAGGGAGTGCCAGGCATGTTCTAGCCCCTGCGGAGTACCAGGTGGGCACTAGCCCCCTGAGGAGTGCCAGACGGGCACTAGTCCCTGGGGAGTGCCAGGCAGGCACTAGCGCCCCTGGGAGTGCCAGGCATGCCCTAGCCCCTGGGGAGTGCCAGGCATGCCCTAGCCCCTGGGGAGTGCCAGGCGTGCACTAGCCCCCTGGGGAGTGCCAGGCATGCACTAGCCCCCTTGGGGAGTGCCAGGCATGCACTAGCCCCCTTGGGGAGTGCCAGGCGTGCACTAGCCCCCCTGGGGAGTGCCAGGCGTGCACTAGCCCCCTGGGGAGTGCCAGGCGTGCACTAGCCTCTCTGGGGAGTGCCAGGCGTGCACTAGCCCCCTGGGGAGTGCCAGGCGTGCACTAGCCCCCTGGGGAGTGCCAGGCGTGCACTAGCCCCCTGGGGAGTGCCAGGCGTGCACTAGCCCCCTGGGGAGTGCCAGGCGTGCACTAGCCCCCCTGGGGAGTGCCAGGCGTGCACTAGCCCCCCTGGGGAGTGCCAGGCATGCACTAGTCCCCCCGGGGAGTGCCAGGCGTGCACTAGCCCCCCCGGGGAGTGCCAGGCGTGCACTAGCCCCCCTGGGGAGTGCCAGGCATGCACTAGCCCCCCTGGGGAGTGCCAGGCGTGCACTAGCCCCCCTGGGGAGTGCCAGGCGTGCACTAGCCCCCCTGGGGAGTGCCAGGTGTGCACTAGCCCCCCTGGGGAGTGCCAGGTATATACTAGCCTACAGGAGTGCCTTGATGATCAGTATGACTTATTCAGTATGATCAGTATGCATATTCCTCCATAATTACAGTTAGTGTCTGATAAATACTTCGACCCAGACATTCCTTGTGCTAGGCGTAGGTCATGCCATGTCCCAGGCGTACACTTGCCACCAGGAATGTCTTACCAGGTGTATTATTCAGGTTGTATAAACTTGAGGGTGTATTTGTCTTTCCCTGGTTGTATGCCACTATGCTTGTACTCACTTACATGTGCCTGCAGGCTGGGCTTCAACTCCTGATTCACACCTTTCGGTTGCAGGCCGTCTATCTAATTGACTCTCGACCTTGCTTGGCATACCTACTCTTAGAAAAAGTGTACTGTATATATAGTGTGGAGTTAGCCCTTACTATCTACTCTTTTTGTTCATTCCACTTGCCCAATACTTTTGCACTGTAAAGGTGTTTTCTTACATCTCCATATTATGGCTCATCTAAATTTCTAGTTTCCACCCATGCTCTCTTTCCTCTTACCCTGGTTCATTTCAACATTTAGTTTTGTCAGCTTTGTCAATTCCTGTCAAGTCTTGTATATATACCTTACCTTGGAGTTACCTTGGAGTTTTTCCGGGGCTTAGCGTCCCCGCGGCCTGGTCTTTGACCAGGCCTTCTCGTTGACCAGGCCTTCTCGTTGCTGGACTGGTCAACCAGGCTGTTTGACTCAGCTGTTTGCAGCCTGACATGTGAATCCCAGCCTGGTTGATCAGGTGTCCTTTGGAGGTGCTTATCCAGTTCTCTCTTGAACACTGAATGGTCGGCCAGTTATGCCCCTTATGTGTAGTGGAAGCGTGTTGAACAGTCTCGGACCTCTGATGTTGATAGAGTTCTCTCTCAGAGTACCTGTTGCACCTCTGCTTTTCAATGGGGATATTCTGCACATCCTGCCATGCCTCCTGGTTTCATGTGCTGTTATTTCTGTGTGCAGGTTTGGGACCAGCCCCTCTAATATTTTCCGCGTATAGATTATTATGTATCTCTCCCGCCTGCGCTCAAGAGAATACAGATTTAGGCTCTTTAGTTGGCTCCAGTAGTAGTATATGTTATGATTACATCATAACATATACATCATAACATTTTGATAGTGTGGTGAGGTGTAGTTTCATCAGCTTTTCCTCATTGTTCAGTCCCTACGTCTTGAGTTTAAGGCCCAGTCCTCTTTATTACTAAGCGTTGAACTTTGTCTGGCTTTGCTTTATACTTTTTAGGAAGTTTCCTTGCGTCACTATGATTCTCACCGTGGATGTCACCATATATTTTCCTGGCACCTTTTGTGTCAGCAAGATTGGGCCCCTTCAGCCAACAGTCACCTGATTCATTGACTTCCTAACTAAATTACTCCCATCATATCTGCTTTTAAAATTGTGGATGGAGTTTCCTACTACTATCTGCTTGTCTTGTCAATTCAATTTTCCTACTATGTTTATCATATCTCCTCTGTCTCTCCTCTTTCCTCGGACTGTTTGGGCCAGCTTTTTTAATGTTTCTAAGTACAGTACACCCATCCCATTTAACTCTGGGATGTGCCTCTTTGCAAATCTCTGCACCTTTTCAAGTTTCCTTGTGCGTTTTGTGTGTGTACTCGCCCAGTTATGCTTGCGGGGGTTGAGCTTTAGCTTTTTGGTCCAGTGTATGTACAAATGTGTATGAGTGTTTATTTGTTTACCATGGGGTTTATGAGTCACCATGGTTGCGTCATTGTGGTTGTGAAAGGTACCGTGGTTGTGTGTGTCGCTGTATAGTTGATAGTCGCCCAGATATTGTTACCAAGATTGTCACCCAGTGTTGTGGAACGTAGTGTATGCCATCGGCTAAGACCATTAATTTGATTAATATGCCGAGTGGTTTGCATTTTAGCATTAAGGGCAGGTGTACTGATTTGTTATTATTTACTTTGTAGTATTGTAATTATTTTTGTAAGTGCTGATATTTTGTTACTTTACTTGTTTGGAAGATTTAGGCCTAATCAAAAGGGAAGTTTTAATCATTTTACCTTGTTAGGCTTTCTCTACCACCCAGCTCCCAACATTCTCTCCACATCCCCCTCTCTTCCCTCTTCCTATCCTCTTTCCACCTTTCCTATTTCTTCTTCCTACCCTCTCCCTCTCTCCCTCCCTCCCTCCCCTAGCAGCTTTACCTTCCTTAGTCATCTTCTCATCATTCCCTTCCTCTCCTCTTCCCTTATCCTCCTCCTTAACTCTATGCTCCTCCCTGCCACCTATCTTTGATTCCCTCCCAACCCCTTTCTTCCTCACTCCTCTCCCCTACTTCTCTCTCTACAACCTATGAACTCTCTCGTTTCCTCTCTCTCCTTACCTATCCTCTCCTCAGTTACCTTTCTCCTTCTTCTCTCTCTCCACACAGTTTTCTATAACAAGTGTGGGTGCTGAGCATATAAGGCTCACCAGCACTGGGGGCATTAAGTGAAAGATTGGGGTTGGGCAGTGGCTAAACGTCTTTCCTCGTTTATCAGGTGACTGTGCATGAAGAGGATGGGGGTCAACGCATCATGTCAGGCTGATGCGGGGGTCAGTCCTCAGGCCATCTTCAGCGCGTAAGTCCTGTTTGCGGTGTTCGTTTCGACTCGTATTCAGTTCCTTCATTTATGTTTGCTCAATGCATATTGGTGGTGCATATGTTTTAATAGATACTGTACAGTATTCTAAGGCATTTTCAACTAGTAAATCATGGTAGGCCTAGCCTTTTATACATTTTTATTGATCAGGATTTGAAAGTTAAGTAAGAAAGTATCATTAAGCTGGTGTAAGAATTGGTCCACAGTGGTAGTTGTTTTAGGTTTCACCCATCCTCTGAATTACTTTTGCTTACGGTTTGCCCAATTATCCACCAAGACAGGTAGGTTGGTATGAGTGTTGGTGGTAAGTACTGTACGTGGGGAAGATTTTACAAGGTACTTCAGGAGGGTAAACTTTTGTTATTGTAATATTATAAAGGTATTACTTGGTTAAAGTACTGAAGAAACCAGCAAAGTTTAGCTGGATTGCATTGGTGAGTATCTGGTGCAAGCGTGTGTCGTAGCTCTAGATCACACACTGTTACTGAGTTACGTGTGTTTGTGATGGTCGATGTGTCCAGATTTAGAATAGAGTACTGTATTAAGGTTACGAGTACAATGGCTCGGATCCTGTTTACTGTACTGTACTTAATGTTGTTAGTACAGTATACAGTGTTAACCTTTCTTGGTGATACTCTTCAAGGCTATTCTTTGTTTATTTAAAGGTTAATTTATTTGTTTCATACAGATTGGAAATTGTGTTATCTGTACATAATCTTTATAAAGTAAACTACTATATTCTATATTTTGATTGAAAATATTATTTTAAGTTCCAAATGCATAAAATTGCTGTGAAGCATGAAATTTTGAATGCTCTTGTGCCATTATGTTTTGTTAGAAAATTAGAGTGAATGTTAATGAATGAATTGTGTTTTGGCATTCTCCTTACAGTACCGTCTCCTATACCCTGCATCTCTCAGCCCGTTGTGTTAGTGTGATTATTTAATTTAAATACTACGTGGTTATCTGAAATTCTTATATGGAATATCTTCCTTACACATAAGTCTTCTACTCTCATATCTTAATTTGTTTGAAAATTGCTTTTAGTAGTGACTCTTGTTAGCTTTAGGACTTGTTACTTATTGTTCTAGTTTTGCTTTACTGTATTTCTCAATGCTTTGCTCAGAACCAGGAGAGTTTACCTCTGAATGTTTTGTGAACACTGTACAGCTTTTCACAACTACCAGCAGTATACTATATACTTTCATCTCCGCTCGTGTTAAGACGGTTTGTTCTCTCGGCCAGCTTGCAGCCATAACATCATCCGGTATTTTAAGCTGTTACAGTTTCTGATGCAAGTGAACTCTTACTTCATGAGAGAGTAGCCTTTTTGTTTTCTGTTGGTCTTGAGCAGTTGGTTAAAACATTCTTGCATATATTGTGAAAATCTTGTGTATACTGTATGCTCTTGTATAACTTTCACTTTCAGCATCTTGCCAAAATGATGGGATATAAAGAACTGTTCCTTGCATGAACCAGTAAGGCTTATGCAATTTCTTTTACTCTAATTATAAATTTGTTTATTGCATTATACGCTATTGCATGGTGCTTGTTTTGTCATCCATGTTTTCATCATCTATGTGCATGTTGAATAATTTATCAATGAATCAGAATAATATTTTTGGGCTCTAAGGATGTTCTTTACAAAAACTAGGCTCTTGATTACTGACGATGGAAAGCTCACTCACTCACCCACTCAACTCACTGTGTGTGTGTGTATGTACTCACCTATTTGTATTTACCTGTTTGTGCTTGCAGGATCGAGCATTGACTCTTGGATCCCGCCTTTCTAGCCATCGGTTGTTTACAGCAATGACTCCTGTCCCATTTCCCTATCATATCTAGTTTTAAAATTATGAATAGAGTTTGCTTCCACAACCTGCTCCTTAAGTGCATTCCATTTTTCCACTACTCGCACGCTAAAAGAATACTTCCTAACATCTCTGTGACTCATCTGAGTTTCCAGTTTCCACCCATGTCCCTTCGTTCTGTTACTATTACGTGTGAACATTTCATCTATTTCCACTTTGTCAATTCCCCTGAGTATTTTATACATTCCTATCATATACCCCCCTCTCCCTTCTTTTTTCTAGTGTCGTACGGTGCTTTGTTTCCCAATTTCTCTCTCTATGATTTAGGTCCCCCATGACCAGCAGTTTCGCTCTCATTCTATGCGCTATTGTTACTGCCCTTTGCAGTTCATCTATAAATGCCTTGTTGCTGTCATCATATTCCTGCCTGGGCTTTCTACTGTTTGGTGGGGGATTGTAGAGTATAAGATCACAATCTTCTTCCCATCCGCTGTCAGAGTTCCATGTATGAAGCTCGTGCTTTCATTGGTACCCGGATTTTCCAGGTCATCAAACTTCCATTTCTGCGTTATTAGGAGTGCCACTTCCCCTCCCTGTCTCTGTGTCCTTTCTTTTCTTATCACCTGGTACCCCTCTGGAAAGATTGCATCCAAGATCATGCCATTTAATTTAGTTTCCACTTTTGCAACTATGTCTGGGTCTGCCTCACTAACTCTTTCATTTATCTCTTCTGCTTTATTGGATACCCCATCAGCATTGGTATACCAAACCTTGAGACTCTTCTTGGAAACTCTGGTGCCAGAGTTCACCCTTTCTCCGGGGGTCTGGGGGTGTCTGTGGGGCAAATGGGGGCTAGGGGGGTGCTTGAGAGGCGAATGGGGTCTGGGCATCTAGGGGGGTTAGGAAGGGCATAGTGGGTCTGAAAATTAGGGAGGGTCTGAATGGCATAGGGGGGTTGAGAAGTAGAGTGAGGCTAAGAGTCGGATAGAGGTTGAGAGGTTGTGGGGGGAGAAGGTTAGTGCAGGCAGAGGGCTGAGGGGAGAATGGAGCATGGGTGCTAAGAGTGGAAGAGAGGATGTATTAGTCAGAGGGGGGAGGGAATCAGGGGTAAGTGGGGGTTTTGGGGTAGAAGAGGGGAAGAGGGAGATGGGGAAAGTGTTAGGGGATCACAAGGTGAGGGGGTTATATGGGAGATGGGGGTGCAGAGGAGGAGTGAGGGGGGAAGAGGGGTGCAGTGGGAGCTGGGATGGAGCAGGTGGAATTGAAGGCATTGGGGTAGAAGGGGCAAGGGAGTTGGAGGGGGATAGTAGAGGAGGAGGGGTGGGTAGGTGGGTTTGGAGAGGGTATGTCTTGGCCCGATATGGTCATTGTAGGGTGCAATGTAGCAGGTCGAGTTGAGTGCAGTTGTGGAAGGGACAGGGGAGTTGTTGGGGGTCGAAGCAGGGGGGGGGGGCATATAGGAGTGCAAAGTTGGGGAGGGTGTGACCTGGGAGGTGAGGCTACTTGGGAGGGTAGGGTTTCTGTGTCGTGCAGGCCATCTTGCTTTGCGGGCTATTTGTTCATCTTTCATTATATACCTCTCAATAAACACATTGTAATGGGCTTCACTGCCTCTGAATAAATATTTGTTCTTTATTATGTACTCCACTACCTCTTCATTAGAGAATTGAACTAGAACAGGTCTCTTCTTGATACAATTGTAAGGTCCAACCTGGCGGCCGAGTTCCACCTCGTTTCTTGCCATCTCGGCCCTAATACATATCAATATCTTGTGCAATTCATATTTTTCCATCTCTATACTAAGACATGGAAAATGTGTGTGAGAGAGAGAGGTGTGTGTTTGTGTGTGTGTGTGTGTGTGTGTGTGTGTGTGTGTGTGTGTGTGTGTGTGTGTGTGTAATTACCTAAGTGTAATTACCTAAGTGTAGTTACAGGATGAGAGCTACGCTCGTGGTGTCCCGTCTTCCCAGCACTCTTTGTCATATAACGCTTTGAAACTACTGACGGTCTTGGCCTCCACCACCTTCTCACTTAACTTGTTCCAACCGTCTACCACTCTATTTGCGAAGGTGAATTTTCTTATATTTCTTCGGCATCTGTGTTTAGCTAGTTTAAATCTATGACCTCTTGTTCTTGAAGTTCCAGGTCTCAGGAAGTCTTCCCTGTCGATTTTGTCAATTCCTGTTACTATTTTGTATGTAGTGATCATATCACCTCTTTTTCTTCTGTCTTCTAGTTTTGGCATATTTAATGCTTCTAACCTCTCCTCGTAGCTCTTGCCCTTCAGTTCTGGGAGCCACTTAGTAGCATGTCTTTGCACCTTTTCCAGTTTGTTGATGTGCTTCTTAAGATATGGGCACCACACAACAGCTGCATATTCTAGCTTTGGCCTAACAAAAGTCATGAACAATTTCTTTAGTATATCGCCATCCATGTATTTAAATGCAATTCTGAAGTTAGAAAGCATAGCATAGGCTCCTTGCACAATATTCTTTATGTGGTCCTCAGGTGATAGTTTTCTATCTAGAACCACTCCTAGATCTCTTTCTTTATCAGAATTCTTTAAAGATTTCTCACATAATATATAGGTTGTGTGGGGTCTATGTTCTCCTATTCCACATTCCATAACATGACATTTATTAACATTAAATTCCATTTGCCAAGTGGTGCTCCATATACTTATTTTGTCCAGGTCTTTTTGAAGGGCATGACAGTCATCTAAATTTCTTATCCTTCCTATTATCTTAGCATCATCAGCAAACATGTTCATATAATTCTGTATACCAACTGGTAGATCATTTATGTACACAATAAACATCACTGGTGCAAGAACTGATCCCTGTGGTACTCCACTTGTGACATTTCTCCATTCTGATACATTGCCTCTGATTACTGCCCTCATTTTTCTATCAGTCAGAAAATTTTTCATCCATGATAGAAGCTTACCTGTCACCCCTCCAATATTTTCCAGTTTCCAGAACAACCTCTTATGTGGAACTCTGTCGAAAGCCTTTTTTAGGTCCAGATAGATGCAGTCAACCCAACCATCTCTTTCCTGTAATATCTCTGTGGCTCGATCATAGAAACTGAGTAAATTTGATACACAGGATCTTCCAGATCGAAAACCATACTGTCTGTCTGATATTATATCATTTCTCTCTAGGTGTTCTACCCATTTAGTTTTGATTAGTTTTTCCAATACTTTCACTATTACACTTGTTAATGATACAGGTCTATAATTGAGGGGTCTTCCCTGCTGCCACTTTTGTAGATTGGAACTATGTTAGCCTGTTTCCACCCGTCTGCTACGATTCCTGTACACAGGGATGCCTGAAAGATCAGGTGAAGTGGAATGCTGAGCTCAGATGCACATTCTCTCAGAACCCATGGTGAAACGCCATCTGGGCCAGCTGCTTTGTTCTTACCGAGCTCCTTGAGCATTTTTTCCACTTCGTCTCTAGACACCTCTATGTGTTCTATGTTGTTCTCTGGAATTCTTATTGTATCTGGTTCCCTAAAGATTTCATTTTGTACAAACACACTTTGGAACTTTTCGTTTAGTGTTTCACACATTTCCTTTTCATCTTCCGTGAATCTATTTCCCATTTTCAACCTCTGAATATTATCCTTTACCTGCAATTTGTTGTTTATGAATTTATAGAATAGACCTGGTTCTGTTTTACATTTGTCCGCAATCCCTTTTTCAAAATTTCTTTCTGCCTCTCTCCTCACTGCCGTGTAGTTGTTTCTCGCATCTTTGTATCGCTGGTATGTTTGGGGGTTCGGCCTCTTCCTGTATTGATTCCATTTTTGTGTCTTTCGGTCTCTAGCCCTCTCGCAATTTCTATTGAACCAATCCTGTTTCCTAGTTCTGCATCTCTGTTTTGGTATAAATTTTTTTGTGCCTTTATCATATATTTCACAAAACTTGCCATACATCTCATTCACTTCCTTGCCTAGCATCAAGTCTGTCCAATTATACTCACTAAAAAAATTTCTAAGGTCACCATAATGTCCTCTCCTGAAGTCTGGTTTTTCAACTGCTTCAACCTCCTTATTTTCTTCCAGCTTATAACGCATTGCATACTTTATTCCCAAAAAGACATGGTCACTTTTACCCAAGGGAGGAAGGTACTGAATGTCAAATATCTCTTCCTCCTTCCTGGTAAATATCAAATCTAGCATGGAGGGAACGTCCCCTTCCCTCATCCTCGTAGCTTGTTTAACATGTTGATACAAGAATGTTTCCAGGATGAGGTCTACAAATTTACAGGTCCAAAAATCTTCTGTTTTAGCTTCATATGCTTCCCAGTCTATGGGAAGTGTGTGTGTGTGTGTGTGTGTGTGTGTGTGTGTGTGTGTGTGTATGTGTATGTGTGTATGCAAGATTGAAATTGTGAGAGGGCCAGAGAGGAAAAAGACTAAGAAAATGGGTGGAATATAGGAAGGAGCATAACCCTCAAACATGCCACCACTACATACAAGCAAGACACCAATACTCAGCAGTGAGGAGAGAGAGGCAGAAAGAAACTTTGAGAAAGGGGGGTATATATGCACACCAATCCTCAGTAGGGATGAGGGGGGGAAAATATGGCGGTGGTGTAGCCTAAGGGTTGAGGGCTAGTTCTGAGAATGCTATGCCTGTCTTCCCTTCTCCCCCCCCCCCTATTTAATGTTTGTTCCCTTTATGTGACCTATGTCTTCTAATGTATGATTTCTGTTTTTGTTGTCTTGTTGAGTGTCTGTAGTATTTCAGAAATCCATTTTTTAATGTGCACACTATTAATATTTTACTGTAGCTAAAGTTGGCTATTTATGATGCTGAATTCTCAATTTTTTTTTTTTCACTTTGATGGTGCCCAAATGTTAATTCTAATTGGTGGACTTTGTTTCTAGTTGGCGGCCTCCGTTTTTGGAAGTTCGGTGTCGAATTGGAGCCGCTGTATTTCCAACTCCGTGAGCCTACATTACCTATTTTTTGTCGCTTTTGCACATATTTTGAATAGTTCAACCCTTAAGTTTATAACAAAAGTAATTTGTAGTTTATACAACAATTTCTTTGTTAGCTTATTGATATTTAAAAAAAACTGTAGTTATTCTGAGAGAGAGCCTTCAATTGCTCACTGGTCTATGTACTTAACTCTTGTACTGTCAAAATTTAACTTGACACACCAGGCCTCTGAGATCCATCCTTCCTATTGTGAGCCAGCACCAGAATTTTGCTCATTCTATGAGACGAGTAGAACAGGGGATAGGAGTACAGATACAAAAACTGGGCAATACTCGGCAAAAAGAAACCCCCTCTTAAGGCAAAGGGAGATCCTTGTACATAATCTTGGATCAGGCAACATATCGGCTGAACGGCATTGAAATAATCTCATATTCTCGTGCTTGTTTTCTTGCTCCTGTTCTTTTTTTTTTTTTTTTTTTTTTTAAGTGAGTTTTTGATGAGGTTTTGCCAGTTTTGTGATTGGTCTCTGATCCCCTGTTGCCCATCACCTCATAGAGTGAGCCAAACATGTAGTCCTGGCTCCTGACATTGGGCTGAAGCTTGATGGTGCCAGAGCTAATCTCTCGGAGCTTCTGGGGGGGGGGCTTCAGAAAAGACAATTCATTACATTACATTCTGTTGTATACTATTGTATATATACTATTGTATATATACTATTGTATATATACTATTGTATATATACTATTGTATATATACTATTGTATATATACTATTGTATATAACCTCTATATTTTAACCAAATTTTGTGTTGAAGTACCTATTTAATTGTGGTAACTTTCAATTACTTAAGGGTTGGAACTGAGAGAGGAAGAGGGCAGTTGTTTTGGCACTAGAGAACATACAGTATTTTGTATTAGTGTGTTTGTTAGCAAGCAATACAACTTTTGTCAGCATTACATTTTTTGCTCTATAAAGCAGATATCATAGTACCCATAAGAGGGTTGAGAGGCGGGACCAAAGAGCCAGAGCTCAACCCCCGCAAACACAACTAGGTGAGAACTAGGTGGGTGAGTACACGCATGCGTGCACCAACCATACCAAGAACCCCACACCATACAAAGGGCCCATAACATGGGGATGTAAAGAATAAAGACAAACAGTGTGAAGTGCTGCAGCCCACTAAACAGGGCACCAAGTCCAGGAAGCAAAGCCCAAATTGTGGAAGCACAGCCTAGAGTTAACACATTTGATTGACAGGCTAGTGAACCAAGGTCCAGATCATAGAAGTCAGGAGGCACAGTGATCCAAGAACCTGGGCACAAGTCCCCAGGACACCAAGGCAAAGAGCCTGGGATACCAAGGTAGAAAGCCTGTGAAGCCAGGGCAGACAGCTTGGAAGACCAGAGCAAAGGGCTTTGGGCCAGGGAACAGTACCCAGGTCAGACATCAGGAGCTGAAACCATCCTGTCAAAGCATAATCCTATTGGTACACAAAACAAGGTTTGCACTTCTCACACACCCAGGGCTTCTCATGGACCTGTAGAATCCTCTGTTCTTGATATTAAAATGATTCTCATGCAAAATTCAGTGATAAAACTGTGTACTTTTTAGTGTAAAATATAATTTAAATAAATGTATATCCATTAGTAAGTTTGTGAATTAAAGCTGCCCTGTTCTTCACTTGTGCTTTAGGTTCTTCATAATGTGTGCATCTGTGCTGAGCTCTACACATGTGCAACCTGAGTATTGGTTTGGAGAGCACCAGTAGTTGTCTTAGAGTACATGCATGTGCCTTTACATGTAGACCTGTGTGAGTTAATATACGAAGGTGAGGGAGTGAGTGAATGAGCAATGGTAGCCCATGGGACAGCCAGAGGGAGTGACTGGCACTCTCATGATTCTTATATTAGTAACATGTGTTTTGTGGAAGAGGCCCCCTCAGTAGCTCCTCCGAGCTAAGCCCTGGTCAAGCCATTCCTTAAGGAAAAACCCACTAGGCCTCTCGGACACTTCCCTACTTTTGGCCAGATCCAGAATCTGGTTCTATGATGCAAGGAGAGCTTCGAGATCAGTGATCTATCTAAAACCGAGAACAATATCATCAGAAAGCATGAGCATAGCCAAACAAGCAACTGATTTAAGGAAATTGTCATCCCTTTGATGGCAAGTAGCGCTAGGAAAGGCTTTGAGTCTTGTGTAAGCGTGTTCTCTGGCTGCATTCTGTGTTGGATTGAGTTTTCTCCATTGTCTCTGGCACCAGTATGACCAAGCAGGGATAGTGTGAACAGTTACCTTCTGTGATGATGCAGAATATCAACCTGCCCTGCCTGAGGTAGAATCTAACCAGGATCATTTTAAAATTGCCTAGAGAGTAACTGAATGTGCTACTCGGGAAGTGATTTCATATATACAGTACTCGGTCTGATTTTTGCTGTGCTTGGCAGTGAGCACAGTATATACATTAATGAGCTCAACTATTCTTTATTCTAATGGTTCTGTTTCGTATGGGTTTCTCACTAAGAATGAGCCCTGTTCCTATTATGGTCACTCCATTCTTATTTAAGCCTGGAACCTGCTCTGTAGCTGCTTTCTGTACATACATAACTGTATCTAAGAACTCATTATTGGAGAACGTCTCTCTTGGTCTCAGGACAGTACTTCCTCGTTGTAAGGCAAGAATTGATCCGCAGACATGTAACATAGTTGTCTGCAGGCCTGTGCAGGTCATGACACCTAGTGTAAACTTGTTACATATAAGACGTTCTTCCATGACATGCAAGAAGACTCGCTGTAGAAGTTTATCTAGATCAAACTATAATTTGTATACAAGAATAATACTTATGGGACTGCCAGAGTAATATGCTCAGAAAAGAAGTTTTCACAGAAACGGGAAAAAACAACAAAAAACTGAGGTATGATTATTGCAACTGACATTCCCTTTTGCCTGGCTATTACAAACCATAGTTTGGATGTAACTTTAAAGCATTTACACATTACAAATTATTACAGTGAGTCTATTTATATTGATGTAGTAATTCTATTTTTGTTGTAATACTTTGATACACAAATGTTTGTTGTATTGAGTATTGACATTGCAAATCACTCTCTCTCCAACCAGGACAGTGTTTGTAGTAATTGAATCAAAAAGATATTGTACAGTAGTTGCAAGTATTGTGGTGATCTTCTTTGCATCACATTGTTGAACTTGATCCTCTTTCAGGGAAAAGAAAAAGAAATTGACAAGCCTGGCAACCCTACGCAAAAAGCTGATTCGTCGGCGGCGGTCGTCCAAGTCATGTGACCATGCACGGGTGATCCGAGAGCTGGTGAGTGACTGGACGGTGCGGGAGGTGACAGCACTATACGAGGAATATGAAGCAAGTGCCGCTCTCAAGGATCTCACTGTGCAGGTAAAGAAATATAGTAATGTTGTAAGCAAAGATATTAGTCTATATTTTGTGCTTGTATCTTGGTAAGCGGTAGACTGTAGTGGTAGCAGACCATGATTTCCTTCATGGTCTGCTACACTGTTATTTATATTTTCATTTATGAGCTGTCACAATGTTGGTTTTTAAGTTAAGGTTCTTTTGAATCCTTAGATGGGATCATGACAATCAAGGTTATCTTGAGATGATTTCGGGGCTTAGCGTCCCTGTGGCTCGGCCCTCGACCAGGCCTCCTTTTTTGTTACACATCCCCAAGAAGCAGCCCGTAGCAGCTGTCTAACTCCCAGATGCCTATGTACTGCTAGGTGAACAGGCACATCAGAGTTAAAGAAACTCTGCCTATTAGATTCTGCCTCTGCCGGGGATTGAACCCTGAACCTTAGGACTACAAATCCCGAGCGCTGTCCACTCAGCCGTCAGGTCCCTTAGGTGTACATTCTGCACCAGTCGCACAGGGAGCCTTGCAGATATTCTTGCATGGTTATAATGATGCTAGGGAGGTACTAAAGAACATACGTTCCAGTCTGGGGTAACAACTGGAAGGCACACTCATAACTTAAGGCCTGTACTACTTCCATACTGCATTGTCAACCATCTCTACTTAAGCCTAACTCTCAAGCATCCCGAGCCCAAGTCTGTCAAAATGCCTCAAGAAGTTCCCCCCTCCCCCCCTTTCCCCACCGCATTATCACAGTTGTTTACTACAAAAGCGGTCAACTGCAGAACCTTCTCCAACCACTTGGCTGAAGAGAGTTCCAACTAGAGAGGGTGTCTTGGCAACTAGGCAAAAGGCAGACACATTGGCCTTGAAGAGGAAGAGCAAACAGGGAGCTTAGTCTGAACCTGGAGCTAAAGGCACATTAGAACCCACACCTCAGTCAGGAGCCCGAGAAAGACTTCCAAAGAAGGATCCAGAGGTGCAAATCGATGCCAAAATCCTTGCGAGAGAGGCTGGAAGGATACTTCTGCCATAGCTATTGCTTAATCTACCATCTCTGAAGGACACAGAAGCATAGAAAACAAGGAAGAGATGTCGGCCAGAATTTGGTATTGGTACACTTTTCATTATTTGATGCTTAAGATTTATGCCCTACATAACTCGGTTGCAGTATTTTGAGTACAATTGAAAACCCTATTTGTGTAGAAATGGTTCTGTAATATATTAATATCTTTTCAGGCTGACCTCGCTCGACCACCAGCTCCAACCTACAAACAAGACCTGAGTGACCTTTTCGATTACAAGTACTGTACAGATGTTGACCTGGTGTTCCAGGGAGCCATCTTCCCCGTCCACCGGGCCATTCTCAGCGTCAGATGTCCTTACTTCCAGGTACCACAATTTTTCTCCGCCCAAGTTTGATGCCCATAGGTACGTAGCAAATGGAAGATTCAGGTATAATGGTGCAGAAAGCAGGTTGAAGGCAGTTGGTGATTTATTTTATTATCGACATGTTTCCCAGCAATCACAAGGCAAGGACCAGAAGTCTCTACTTCTGGTCCTGTGGCTGGGAGTCTCTACTCCCAGCCACAGACTAAGATATGCAGGTGAATATCCCTCATTTAGCTGTATATGTGTGAACCAAGTTAGGCTATGAAGCCATACAGTGGGGTTGACCTGTTCCCTTGGATTCCCTATGGTATAGCCTTAATATTTTGTCATAGATAAATCATGTTCTTGTGATTCCATTATCACATGATTACATTCTGAAAATAAGCTTCAATTAAATTTGAAGCAACATTGCCTTCTCAATGAGAATTGTACTCAGGATACTTTAATTGCTAGGCCTGTATCGAAACCTTTCTGCCAACTGTAAATAATTAGTTGTGGGCCTTCAATTAGTGCTGAAAGGTAAGTGGCAATTTACAGGCAAAAATTTGTTGCTGACACGTTGAAACTGTGGGTCAAAAATTTGTTCCATAATCTCCATGCTTTTTGGTTAGCTGATTTTTATAAGAGATTGAACAAATTTGTACTTGTTAGAGGTAAATGTTATTACAATTATTATTAATCAAGGGAATGAAGTAGTGAAAGTCAGTGTATGCCCTACAGAAAATCTAAAGTTGCATATAGTACTGCTCCATATTTGCTTGGAATTGTAAATCATTTCATCAGTATAATTGAACAATCCTATGTAGGTGATATCTTAAATTGGTGTTGTTATGGCTGTGTGGGCTTGCTGGCCATGACCACCAATAGTCTCAATGATCAGCAATTTACATGGAAGCCTTGCTTCAAGCTGAGAGAAAGAAAACAAAAATTAGCTATCTAGGACACGTGTGTGTGTGTGTGTGTGTGTGTGTGTGTGTGTGTGTGTGTGTGTGTGTGTGTGTGTGTGTGTGTGTGTGTGTGTGTGTGTGTGTGTGTGTGTATGTGTGTATGTATGTATGTATGTATGTATGTATGTATGTGTGTGTGTGTGTGTGTGTGTGTGTGTGTGTGTGTGTGTGTGGGGGGGGGGGGGGGGGGGGTTGCAGTGACCTGGTGTGTGTGTGTGGTGCTGTGCCGGTCACACTCACAATTATGTTGTGAAAATTAATGATGTACCATATTTGAACACTGGGCATCTGGGTTTAATTTATTGTATTTTATATAAGGTGATGATACAGTACTTTAGATTTCATTTGAATTTCAAGCTTGGTGCTTTCTTTCCATAATATTTAAAAATAGAGTAAGTTTCATAAATAGCTGAACACTTAATCTTAACATTGTGTATATCCCTCTTGCTAGTGTCTTATATCCATTCATCTTACAGGAGGTGCTGAAAAAGATACCAGGATATGGGGCCCAAATTGGTGTGGATATACGGACTCCTGGTATAGATATTCCAATGTTTAGTGCTTTGTTACGTTACTTATACACCGGTGAATTTAATGCATATGATGGAACTAGCAAAGCTCAAATGGGCCTCAGTAACTTGGACATGTTAATGCAGTTGTGTGAGGAATTTGGGACGCCAAACCCGCTTGAGTGCGATCTTAAGTACCTGTTGGAATCTGGTGATTATGCCGACTGCGTGTTGGTGTTTTCAGCAAGTGGTGATGTAAACCAGTCTGACCAGGGTGGTGAGGCTGGCCCATCAGACTATGGTTTTCACAATCGATTAGAACTTTATTGTCACAAAGCTATACTTAGTGCCCGCTCACCATTCTTCAGAAGCCTAATTCAGCGAAGACAACGATACAGCGAGGACATGTATGAAAGAGGCATCCCTCAGCCGACCAGAATAGTGTTAGATGAAGGCGTGATCCCCAAGAGATATGCGCGAGTGCTCCTTCATGCCGTGTATTTAGATACTTTGGATCTCTCTTGTATTATTCGTGACTCGACCAGCACCAACAGTCTGAGTGAAGCTCAGAGCATTGTGCAGACGGGCCGTACGCATATGACTGTGGTTGAAGAGGCAATGGAAATATACCAAATTGGCCGTTTTTTGGAACTGGACATCTTAACCCAGGTAAGGTAACTTCAATTTAGGGAAATAAGCCAATTAGTTTCATTGTATGCAAAGGTTAGAACTATGGTTTTAAGATGGTATAAAACAGAGGTGAGTACAGTATTTTAATTATAGAATTTTCACGATTACTCATTTCTCTCTGTGCCCTGTGTATTTACCCATGTGTTGCTTTGTTTATTTAAGTTAAACAAGAAAATACTGTAGTTCACCAAATATGCTGTGGACAAGGATTTACAAAAAAAAAAGATGTGGTAAGGTTATTGTACCTAAAACTTTGTTGAAAAAAGTTGTTGGACAGATGGAAACTTCAAATATTTCATGGATTTAGTGGAAAAAATTATGACACTGTAAGCACAAATAGTTTGAAAGAATGGTGACTTTTTTTTCTTGCATAGAGACTTTGGTGTTGCATTAATGATCTCATATGACGAGAGGAAGGGATGTTTATAACACTGATCTGTGCCTTATGTAGATGTGAGGCTGCCGGGGTTATGGCATGTTCAGTGTTATAGTCTTTATTTCCATGGAACAACATGTAAATGGAATGGAGTGCAAGAGATTTAAGTTTTTTTTTTTTATGTTCAATAATTTATCTGCTTTCTGCTGCCTTGTTCCTGCAGGATAGGGTTAGTGGCAGAAGACTTTTTAGAAAACATGTTAAAACATAAGGAAATTGAAAGATCTCTTAGAGAACATAAAATTGTTGTGCAAGATGAATAACACTGTGTAACAACATTGTCCTTGGTAGTATATATAGTGTAAAAAAAAAAGTGTGTGCATAAGTTTATCTTGCATGATAGGTAGCTTAATTATATATATTTATTACAAAGTAGTGAAATCTCGCTCAAATGGAACTCTCCTGTTACATTAAATTTTGTCTTGCAACCGGGATTTGTTATTTTGTCAACGATATATTGATTAGCACAAACAATAAAATGCATCTTGGCACACAATTTGATACTCAGTGGCAAAAGAAAATTTGTGTTGTACAGTGTAAGGTATTTTTCTCGCCGCCAATAATGCCGAGTGTCTTAATTTATCCAGGTCGGAATTATTTTGCTGCATCCGATATTTTGGTCAAGGGGATTCCTTTTGAGTGAGATTCCACTGTCTTGAATAACATTTGAGACAATAGTCACAGAACAAATTTATCTTAATTTTTGACAGTTTATTCTTATCATAAAGGTTGTTATTGTTTTATCGAGTGTTTATTATCATTTATAGATGCAATATCTTATTTTATATTGACAAAGCTTTTTCATCTAGGGTTGTGAGGACATGATAGTTGAATCATTAAGCCTAGACAACCTGGTGTCCATTTTGCGGTGGTCGGGAGAAGCTCATGGTTCGGCGTGGGTTCACCGGCAGGCTCTTCACTTCTTGCGTGAGGAATTTTCTCAGGTAATGCCAAAATGTACAGTATCTGCAATGTGTGTGTGTGTGTATTTGGGAAGGGGGGGGGGGAAGAAAGAAAGAGAGAGATCGATAGTGGGAGAATGTAATTACCTAAGTGTAGTTAGAGGATGAGAACTATGCTCAGGGTGTCACATCTTCCTAGTACTGTCATATGATGCTTTAGAACTACTGACAATTTTGGCATCCACTGCCTTCTCCCTTGTTCCAACCATATACTGGTCTGCTTGCATAAAGAGGTTTTTGTAATAATTTTTGGCACATTTATTTCCTTATTGTGCATGCATGTAAATGGGTGCGAGTGGAAATGCATTCGAGTGGGAATGTGCATTAAATGTGGCTCTACAGTATCAGTTCCCAAGCCGAAGGCATTCATTTATGAATTCCTGGAAATGCCATTTCATTATACTATGCTGTAGCTTTAATTGTGGAAAGACATCTCTATTCTTCCTTTTCCATGTGTTCTACTGGTATGCCTTAACCTAGCATGGAACTGTCAAATTTATCATTATAATGAAAGGGAAAATCCAATAAAAAACATAAAGGTTTCAACATTTTCAGATGCTGTAGTCTTGTATCTTCTGTATTTAATGTCTTTTTTTTTTTTACATTTTTGCTAACAGGTTGCTCAGTCAGGAGTATTACTAGAACTGGAAAAGTCAACATTATTAGAAGCCTTGATATCAGACTTCTTACAAGCGGCAGAACTAGACGTGCTGCAGGCGACACTACGCTGGGGGGAACACCAGTTACTGAGACGAATGGAGGATAGAGGCAAGTTTTCTATTTTTGAGTTTGTCGTCCATTCTTGGCATATATTTCGGTCCTCATTTTGTTTGAGATAACGAAGCACCCAAGAACTCGTGTATTCATCCAATTTTGGGCTTTGTCATTTTTTATATTAAGACTGAACCCTTCTTGCATATGTCAGAAACAAACCTAACTGAACCTAGTGTAAATTATTAAAAAAGGGTTTTTAGTAGTAGTAGTAGTGGCATGTTAATAATACTTATATTAGCATCAGCATCGTGACTGTCTCCATTTGGAGTGTTGAGGTGATGGTGGGAACTTACATACACTGAAACCTCCATTTTCTAAACTAATTGGGACTGGACCCAATCTTATTGTGGACAGTATCAGGGTTTTTGAACGACCAAGAATTTACTATTTATCACAAACTATAAATATAAAAATGCATTTTTACTCATTCAAATATTGTACTGTACATATATAAGTATTTTGAATATAAAAAAATATAAAAAGTATTACACTCTAAAATCTATGGCTCTCTTAATCAGATTATCAATGTTTTCTTGGGAGCAAATTGTTTGCATTCCATGAAAGTTTAAAGGATGGTGACTGAGACTGTGAAGGTTCCACTGTAAAATATAATGCAGTCTAATTGATTGTGTCTACCTAAGCTGCTGATTAATATTTGACATAGCTGCATGAATATGTGCACAACATGAACAGCATGTTGCCTCCTACAAAGCATGTGATCTTGGCCTGCTGTGGCATGCTTTTGAGTCACAGTATTTCCTCCGACACCTGCTGGGTATGCGGGAAAGAACATCTCTAAAGCTGTGGTAAACAGGGAAGCCAGGATTGATCTTCTGTTGAAGATGACTCGGATGTGCGGGCGGTTCTTTGAGAGTAAGGTGGCAGTGTCTGTTGTTGAGAATTTGATCCACTGGTCGATGTCCCGCGGACTCTTTACCTTCACTCCGTCGGCTAGGCTACTGGGATATTCTTTGTCCATTACCCTGCCCACGGTGGCGGGCGGTTGAGGACAGCCGCAAGAAAGAATGTCTTTCTGTTTTTATAAACTGTGATTATAAAAAGTAATACCACTCATAATAAATATTTATGTGCATACTGACATGTATATTTCCATATATCTGATCAAGTGATGTAACAAAATTATGTGATACTACCCAGTGAATTCATATCATGTTTTAGTTATTATATATTCCATAGTTATTTGCTTGCCCATTCATCATCAGTAGAATAGGCATCAAAACACATTGATGTAGGTAGTTAAAGGAACAAAACAAAGCTAGGGAAAGAGACATCGCTGACATGCTTTATAGAAGTGTTTTAACCATCATCTCCCCATCTCCTGAACCACAAGCTGCTCAGCATATCGTACTGTACTTAGTCTAAAGAGTAATTCCTGCTAGTCAGATTACACAACTTTTTATTTCAAGGTTAGTAAATATGTATCAGCAATGTAATAAATTATTCAAATGTTGTTACTAGTGTCCAGTCACAAAGGTTCTTTCTAAATATAACACCATTCTGCATTGTAATGCTATTCCTCTGGTCCTGTTTAGTATGGATAAACAGCTTGTGACTGTATAACAAATGATAGTGCTTTCCATTCACCCGAGCTGTATGGGTCTGGAACCGTAGACCCCACACGCGTGTAAGGCCGTAGCTGTACCAACTGAGTTATGATAGTGCTGTATGATGTATGTATTGATGTATTGTGCATAGAAACGAGAATTAGAGTAAATATGAAAACTTTCTTTTTTTTAACTTCTGAATTTATTATTTGTGCAGAACCCAACTTGGTGTCACAGACAGCCCACTCGGTAACCCGGAAAGGTCTCAGGAAGAGGGACATGAATGACGTCGAGTTGCGAGAAATTCTATCCGAACTCTTACCTCACGTTCGAATGGACCACGTTCTACCTCCCAACCATGATATATTAACCCAGGTAAGTCATTGTTCACCTGTATATCCACAGTTTCTTCTAGTTGGGTTCAAGTTCACGTTCATAATCTTGTAGTAATTAGGTAATACTGCATATTATTCAGATTATTTATGTAAGATACATAATGAGCTTATTCTGTTGTATTTAAATCCGTACCAGTAAAGAATGGGGCTAATTAAGTGCAAAGTTGTTCCCACATATGAATATGTGGGAAGTGCAACTTCCCAACTCTTGTTGGGAAGTTCATTCTCGGTGCTGGGAGCCAAATAGAAGGAATTCTTCCACAGAGAACTGGTCATCATTGTTTACTGTAGAAACTTAATAGTTTACTTAATAGAAACTGATAACATAAATTATGTACAAGTCATTTACTCATCCACTCTTTTATGGAATGTTCATTTGTGACATTCAGTTATATTTCAAGCAAAATCTTCTATAATGCAATAGATCTCGAATGTTATTCTGACTGTTTTAACTGTATTTGCCGGTGTACAAAGTACATCTAATTTGCGAGGATACTTTGTGGACAAAAAAACCCACATTAATTATGTTCCATTTTGCATTTATTGACAGTGATTTTAAAGTGGTTTTTGTTGGAAAAAGCATATTATTTTGTGTATGTAAATACAATATTTATTTGGTTGTTGGACCAAAACAATGCATCCAGTCTGCTAGAAAATGTGTGTTGCTTCATTTCTCAGACTCAATTATATGTTTCCTGGTGATATATATATATACATATATAACATGATATATATATACAGGTATATCACATGATATAGGTGATATATATATACATATATATAACACCAGGAAAATCCTATATATTTTTCCTGGTGATTTCCTGGTTTCCATTTCTTACTCCACACGCCATCCTTGCTCCTTAATCTATAACATTGTTGTTCTTTTGGCTTTACCACTCACTTTATTTTCTATTACTTTTTTCCATTTGTACTGACATTTGATTCTCATTGTTCTTAAGAGAGTAATTGTGATTGGTGGTATGCTTGCTTGCAGGCTATAAAACGAGGGTTGGTATCCACGCCTCCGAGTCATATGATTGGGGATGACACCACCAACTATCGGCTTAATGCATGGATAAGAAGTAAAAATAATGGCTTATTTGTCAAGCCTCGACTTTTTACACCTTACGCTGAAGAAATAAAGGTAAATACATGGTATAAAATGCTCTTTATTAAGAATAATGCCTTAATATATGTATAATTTTCTCATGTGATGTTTCTCTCATTGAATTGGTTTATTACCACGACAGTCGGTTGTGGACGAACAGACTGCTGGTGGGGTGGATGTGGTGCGGCTACAGTGCTATGTGTCTCACATACCTGATGCCCTCTATATGGTTGAAGACAATGCTCCGCATCAGCCAATGTTTGCTCCATCCTCCACGGTGGATGTTGTTGCGGCTGCAATCCCAGGTCGGTATCTACCTTTCTTATTCCGTGCTAATGTTAGTTTGCCGGGTACACTACTTGTTATCAATAACCACGATGAGGATTCAAAACCTATGCACTGGGTGTTCCTAGAGGCATGCTCTAGTCGACTACGCTATGACATGGTGGTAAAACCATGTCGTGTCTTAATCGACTAGTGTGCATTTGGGAACGCCCAGAGCATAGACATGAATCCTCATCACGGCTCCTGTAAATTTTCTCATTGATATCTCACAGTAAAGTGATTTCTCTGTATAATAACCATAACATTAATCAGGCAATTTTTTTTGTGTCTAGTTAATGTATTTTAGAATCAATTATCTAGACAAAATACAGTAGACACCTTAGATCTTGGGGTCTTCTGTGGCTTCTGTGGATCTTCATGAATGTAACAATAATTAACACTTCAAATGCACATGATAATGAGGGAATGATGATCAAACCACACACCAGAAGATGAGGAGACAGTGACGTTTCGGTCCGTACTGGACCATTATCAAATCGATTTGTGGTAATCGGGTTAATAATGGTTCAGGATGGACCAAAATGTCGTCGTCTCCTCATCTTCTGGTGTGTGGTTTGGTCATCATATAAAAATAACAGCCATGTTATTGTGACTCATCGTCTGCACAAGGAGGGAAGTTCTTGCCATTTCTGACTCTGCAGTGCAAGACAGTGAGGGAAGGTTATCTTGAGATGATTTCGGGGCTTTTTAGTGTCCCCACAGCCCGGTCCTTGACCAGGCCTCCACCCCCAGGAAGCAGCCCGTGACAGCTGACTAACACCCAGGTACCTATTTACTGCTAGGTAACAGGGGCATAGGGTGAAAGAAACTCTGCCCAATATTTCTCGCCGGCGCCTGGGATCGAACCCAGGACCACAGGATCACAAGTCCAGCGTGCTGTCCGCTTGGCTGACCGGCTTCCCTCTCCGGGAAGTATTAAGGTACAGTGCTGCATGAGACTTAGAAGTCGTGCAGTGTAAATGGGGGTAAATGGGGCAACCTGAAGCTGGCTAGAGGTGATAGTAACAGCCACCAGCTTGAAAGTGTTGAAAGTTGCCAAATATCAAACATTTTTGCTCTTGTGTCATTTACTACTGTACTAATGCTCTCTCTTCCACAACTTTCATGGGAGGTGAGTGAGCGAGTAAAGGTCGAAAATTTACAGATCTGATTAAATCACACTGTATCTTGTTCGTTCACTCTGAGCACTTAAGTGTGGGTGATCCAGTTCCTTACCCACCCCCTTCATACACCTTTTCCCCCCCCCCATCCCCCCCCAAGAAAAAGAGGATCCGTCCATTTATGTATACACCTGTACTACGCATTTTTGTTTCCTCGGGAAGGTTTCTCTTGATAAACTTTACTGGTTATGTATGTGTGTTCATCCATTTTCTAGAGTCGTGGAAAAATTTTTTAGTTTCTGTATATTATAAATGAACTGGTCTCGGAGAGTAATCAACAGGTGTTAAAACGGCAAGTAATGGTTGACGTACGAGTAGTTTGAGCGTTGTTTTTGTGTATGAACTATGTCTTCCACATAAATTACCCTCAGTACCTGACTCTGTGACAGTGTTGGCAATGGTGCGGCGAGAGAGAGAGTTGGTGTCTTCTCCTGGGTATCAGAGAGCTGCCTCCCTTCTCTTTGGTGATCGTCGCATGCTGAGAAGACAAGTGCGGCTGCGTGTTGTCAGAGAATTCAATCTGCCAGATTCTGTTGCTGATGTGTTGGAGGTAAGGCAGCATATATATCAGGATTCCTTGTTTTCTTGATTCAACTAAATTAAATGAAATGACAATCCTTATAAATCTCAGAAGATTCACATTCTTTTTGTCTCTCAACTTTTAACCCCCTCAAAGAGCAACTATCATAAAAATTTAAATCTACAGAACAAATCCACAAGGGCCGTGACGAGGATTCGAACCTGCGTCCAAGCGCATTCCATGTTTTAAATCTACATGTGCACAAAAAATAAATATAATTTGTTCAATGGAATAATACATTTGCATGCAAAAGTAAGGATAAGGCAAGAAAACATGTGAATGTCAGTCTTTTCTGCATCATACACCATTGGAGGAAGCTGGGTGGGCAGTTACGTAGTCTGCTAACTACGTCACTACGTCAGCTGTCTGCTGACTCCTCCTCACCTGGTGGAGGAGTGAGGATAGTTTTGTCAGACTGCTCAAGTTGGAGAGTTTTTGTTAGTTGCTTCATTTTAGATTATATTGTGTTGATTAAGTTGATTTATTTACACAATTGACAAAAACAGTGCTTGAGGACTGTGTATAGGCCTACAATGTAATGTGTACATAATACAATGTAATATATTTCATATAAACAAATGAACAGATTTGTTCATTTGATGCATCACGTTAGTGTGATATCTGTGTGTGATATTTCATATAAACCTATTCCTTGCCACCACTCAAAGGAAGTGCCTTGCAACGCACTAGTTTGCTGCTATTCAAACATCAGTCAATACAAATTATAATTCCATGATAGCTGCTTATTCACGATAACTTTTTTCTTATAAGTAAACACAAAATGAAAATAGAACTTGTTTATTGAACTTAGTTAAGTTCATTACATTCATAAAGATGTATTATACCCATGCTGTATTTATATAATTTTGTATAAAAACTGGCCAATAATAACTAAAAATACCCAGTTATCGTTTCTGTGGCGGAATTAGGGGGTTGCTGAGCACTCGTTCACTCAAAAAATGAAGATGTGATCATACAGCTCCTCCCAGAGGATAGCACTCGGAGGGTCAAGACGCTGTAAACGTTTGTGATGAGAGTGAGTTAGCACTTCCGCATCAGCCCCCAGTCCAGGTTCCCAAGACTTGGCATGGGGTTTTAAAAGTTAACCAGGGGCTCTGTTTCGAGGTTTACAAAAAATATAAAAAAAAATTAAGAAGAAATTTCTGTTTAATTTGGGCAGGAATGAGTAACAGTGGAATGATTTGAATTTTGAGAGAATTATTTGATGATCGAATCACAGAATTTTAAGAAATTTCAGTTGATGTATTGTTATTTGGTAATGATGCATACCAAACATACTAGTGAAGTTGCTCTTTCTTGAAGATACTGTACAGTACTTTATTATATCAATTTGGTTTAGTGTCTTTCTCGTGGGCAAATTGTTCTTTAGATATAAAAAACTGAGACTCGCACTTCATGACTCATTCTTGGCATCTAACATAATGGATATTTAACTGTAATTTTATCACTTGTCCAACTTCAAAATTATAGATGGTGCATATATGGTCTAGGCAACGGACACTAATTATTCTTGGATTAATTGGAGAAAACCTTGTCGTTTATATAACGATTAAATATATGCTTCACGATCCTGCAGGGGGCTTCCTACACCGAGGAGGAAGAGGAAGAGGTCGAGCAGAGATGCTCCGTGAGGGACGAAGGCAGGTCCAAGCTTCATCCTCCGGAATTCTTGCTTGACCCATTACTCGACCCTCCATCTCATCACTTCCGACTGCTGCAGGTTGTTGAACTGGCTGTATTGTAGTTGTTTCCAAGTTTAGTTTTTAGTTTGTTAAAAGAGTAGAGTGTATTTGGTATTCTGTAGATATTGAGAAAAGAATGTGGGAAAAGAAATAGAAAATTCACGTGTTCCTTGTGAATTTCAAAACAATTCACTAAGGACTTAGAAGCATGTACAATCTGGTTACCCCCCCCCCCCCTCTCCCCATCTAGAAAGGGTAATTTCCAGAGGGAATAGGATGTAACAAATATGGATTGTTAAGTATCTTTTAATTAAAAGATTTTCAGCTGTGTCTTGTATGAAACTCAGAGACTAACTTTGAATGATTTCCATAGAAACACACATTTAAACTCTAATTACTCTGAATAGTTTTTTTGTTTTTGTTTTTCTGAAAATAATTGTCATTAATTTCGTAGGGTGATGAAGGCCACCTTAGTGATGTGATGCCAGATGTGGCCCTGGCCTCTTCATCGCTGTCGGCACTCCACCTCGGCTCCAGCATCCTGGATGACCGAGCAATGGGCAGCCTGGAAGACCTGGAAGGGACACAAATGTCCCTAGATCTGGGTGATGGCTCACACCATCAGGTATGGCTTACGTCCTATTTTGTAGCGTTGAGGGTTGCATTGGAAGCTTGATCTCTCTCTTGTACTCTAGGTAACATTTTCATCTATTGCTATTGTAATGGTTATCTAGTAACAAAATGACTTCACATGGCAAATTCTCACACCTGAAATTTATTTTGAGAGGCAGCACATATCTGCTGTGCTTAAATTAGATAAAACACCTGGAGGGCACTGGACCCTCTTTAACATGTTTTTAGATATATATTTCTTTGATATTTAGCTTTTAAACATTAACTATTCATAGTAAACTTGCTTATAGTTTTGGTAGCTGTTTAAACAAATATTTAAGCTTACAAGCTTATAAAGGTGAGCAAGTGGGTATTTATCATGTATTTACTCAGTTTATAAAAAAATATGGCATATTTGAACACAAACGCTTTCCTATACATGTGCAGAAATCTTATTTTGACAGGTTGGATCACATCTTACGCTTGGTGGGTCTCATCGTCGGCGATCAAGTAGGCGCCGTCGCTTACCGCCCCATCTAACCCCACCACCTCCAATGGCTGGTCATCACACGTACGGGGGTCCACCTCCACGTTCTCCACACACTCCACCTTTGCGACCTCACTCCACCACTATCACCGCCACTGCCCGCCATCATGCCACCACCACACCGCCACTGTTCCTCTGACATCACCACTTCCACTCCTTACATTACCGCAGTCAAAGCCATCGTCACTACCATGAAGCGCGACACTCGCCACCCATCAGGCCGCGCACACCCATGTTTTGAATGCCGCTAAACTTTTATTGCTGCTTTTTATATTTAATATGCATATTACAACATGTTGCAGCTGGCAAGGTCTCAACAGCTCTTTGTCATAGGATTTAAACTTATCAATTCAAAACAAAGTAACAGATGTCTTACAAAATTTATGCCATTGATCAAACTCATTTTAAACCTATATTCAGGTTTAAAAGTCTATCACTGCCTACTGATTTCAGGTGTACATGACCATGTTTAGATGATGAATTGGCATATTTAGGTGTGACATAGTTGGCATTCTGTTTTACGAGTGACTGTGGAAGTAAGTAGTGGAACGATTAGTAATGGATTGCAATTTTTTTTATGTCTTGGAAAACATCTCATCATATGGTGATCAGTGACTAAAAAAAACTTTGAATCTGGAGTTTGTTTTTGGTTAGCTGATAGGCTCTCAGAGCTAGTGTGCCTAACCTCTCATATTGTAAAAAGAACATTTCATCACGTCTTAAGAGACCCATTTTTGTCTTTACCAAAATATTTTGACTTTGTCTTACCTTATTGCAACCTGTTCACGTTCAATTAGAATTTGTCGGATGAGGTTTTCAGAACTGTAATACAGTACAGTATTTACATTCCCATTATGACTGTACATGGGTGTTAAGGCAAGACTGGGGCTTGTTTTTGTTGGTTAGTGAGTTAAATTTATAATATTTGTTAATGTTCCATTTGAAGTGGCTCTTCTTCCTACCCTGGGCGGGTTATCACTACCTGGATACGACTTTCACAAATGTATTGATGCCAACACGCTTAATCAAGAATTTATTTTTTAGAGTTTTAAGTTTCATGAAAGATCCAAGTGTGTTCAGATGGATGAGGTTCACCTTCAACCTTGTTCTTTGGCTCGTGGTCATTATTTATGTCTTTTTTCGGTTATTGTATTTCTTATAGCACTTCTTAGAACGTTCCGACCGTTTGGTGATTCAAGAGCGAATTACACTGATGTTATCCAACAATTAATTGCTCATATTATGGATTATCAGTATTTGGTAGGAAATTGTAATTATAGCCAAGAAAAGCATTAGTTGGTATATAAGGACACATCATGTGTATTCAGTCCATACCTCCTTGACCATACAAGTGTTACTTGGTAAAAATGTGATTAATTTATTCCAATACAGTACAGTACTTAGCTCTGCCTCCAAGTGGAATAAGACTCGGGTATGAAATCAAGATGAAGTCTATTGAATCTCTGCAGCTGATATTTACTGTGGGTGGCTGATCAGCTTACTGGTATGTAATTATGTATATCCTTGGCTAGCCAGTAGATTGGTCGTGTGTAGCAATGGGGTTTTTGCACTTGTATCGTTTTGTCACACCGTTACCTGATGTGTGGTGTTTGAGAAGCAAAGGGAAAATGAATTTGGTTGCTACCAAGAGGCTGATTATTTAGCTGGTCCTGTGATATATGCTTTTGTATTATGTTGCAAGATCAAAATAACATCAGATCAGTGTCTCGCCCATTGTCTATAATTAAGAAGAATCAAACTTATTTATTTCATAATGTTTGTGCATAGCATAATGATAGGGCTTATTACATATCATAAGAGATTTGTTCTTTTTCTTTCTCTGTATATTGTGTCTAATGCATGCAGTTTAGAGCCATTTGTCTGCTACCCCAAAGTCTGTGATACTTTCAAGCTTCTTGAGAACTTCATCTTGCTCAGTCTCACACACTTTGTTATTTTTATTCATCAATGTGAAAGCAAGTCTCTAGAATTAGCCAACGCTCGTAATCCTATGAGTAAATTTGAGCAGAGTAACTTGGGGAAAAAAAAAACCACAGCGTGGCTCCCAAAGATTGATCCGTTGGTGTCTGCTCAGGCAACCGCTATGAACAGGTACGTCTCTACATTGGTCATTATTCCTGATAAACAGATTTTGTAGCACAGTAAAATACTTAACTTTTTTTTTTTTTTTTACGAATTATATCATATTAACCCTTCAGCTGCAGATTTTTTGTACACTTCTTTCTCATATACACAATAAAAAATATTTTTGTTTATTCTCCATTAGAGAATAATATGACAAGAAGAGACAAAAATAATAATATTATCTCTGCCATAGTATTCATCTGTCAGGTTTATTTATTTATTTATTTTTATTATCTATTTATATATACAAGAGTTCTTACATTCTTGTACAGCCACCAGTACGCGTAGCGTTTCGGCCAAGTCCTTAATCCTATGTTCCCTGGAATACGACCCCGAAAAAATCGTTCAACAACCAAGTACCCATTTTACTGTTGAGTTAAACAGAGGTTACAGTTGAGGATTTGCGCCCAGTAAATCCTCCTTGGCCAGGTTTACAAAAGACATTCTTAGATGGTGGTTTTGCTACAGTACATGTGGCCAAAAGTGTGTGTGTGTGTATACATTTTGACACTTGACGTATTATTACTCAAATTGTATATTTTAAATCATACATATTCTCTATAATATAAATCAAAAATATTTTATTCTTAAAGATAACTGGTTGACATTTTAACAGGCAAAATGTTTTTGTTTTTTACAGCTCCTCACTAATTACTATTACAGTATATATTTGTATGAAGGAATATTGGATTTTTGTTAGTAGCTTATTTGAGGTTGAGAGCTATTTCTTGATGGCAGAGGTGGGCCCCTCATCAACTGATTATTATACAAACCACCACACGGTAAAGTGTACGGTATGTAAGTGTGCTGCGGTCATGATGGCTACAGTACAACATGTCTATATAAATGTGCAGAGTAGCTGAAGGGTTAAACGTGAAGATTGACTTGCATAGGCATGGGAGCTTGGGTTAAATGACCCTTTTTCAGAATGACCCTGAAAATGTAATTTCGGTAAAGAATGTAAAATTTAGCAACAGATATTCGGACTGAAAATAGATTTTTGTATTCTTCTTGAAAAACTTGATGAAAAGTTCTTGTGAAGTTGACTCTCCACTTTTAGCATTTCATCATAATATTACTGAGTGTTCACTGCATTAGTTAAGATCATTACCAAAGAATTATTGCCTTCCTTAACTCCTTTTTCAATAATTAGTGTCGGTTAATGGTCATACTGGATCACATGCTCACATTCACAAACTAAAGCAATGGTTGTTGACCAGACCACACACTAGAAAGTGAAGGGACGGCGACGTTTAGGTCCGTCCTGGACCATTCTCAAGTCGATTGTGTAATCGACTTGAGAATGGTCCAGGATGGAGCGAAACGTCGTCATCCCTTCACTTTCTAGTGTGTGGTCTGGTCAACATACTTCAGCCATGTTATTGCGACTCATCACCTGCATAAAGCAATGGTTGTATGTACTTTTCCCAAGAATGTTTTTCAGGCATATGAGCAAGCCAGTGACAAAAGTATCTTAACATTATTCTTTATACTAGACAAGTAGCTACATTTTTTCCATGTCATTTTAGGTGGCTAGTGTATTTTTGATTGACATTGTTAATACATAATGTTTTATGGCTACAAGTAACACAAACAGATTAGGGGCAGGACTCAAGAGTTTTAATAAAACTCCATACAAATTGCCCAGAATCAAATTTTTTATTTTGTATTTGTATTTTTTTTCCCCCCCAAGATGTCAGGATTTGCCTGTAGAAGCGGCAGTAGCCAAGTACCAAGTAGATTGTTATTTATAGGTTACCATTCAATTCAAATGTAATGATAACACACAAACACACACACACACACACACACACACACACACACACACACACACACACACACACACACACACACACACACACACACACACACACACACACACACACACACACACACACACACACACACATATATTATATATATATATATATATACATTTTTTTTCTGAGAAGAGTTTTTCAACCACCAGTAAGGTGTTCATGAGAGCTGTGAAATGAACCATGTGATTTGCGTGATTGTTTATGAGGCTGCTGAAGTTTGAGAGTCGAGACATCGTGCACTCTACAAACCAATTTTCTCCTTTGTCAGTTCCAAAGACTCCTGCCCCAGTGGGAGGTTAAGAGTACAACAACTTATATTCGTACTCCCGGCCCCTTAATGGGCATCCAAGTGCCTACTGTGCGGACCAAACGCAACACTGGCGGCAGGTGAGGTTGTCAGCCAAGGTCGCGTCCAGTCAAGATTAGTAGTCAGTGGGGAAACCTTGGGCACTATGTTGTTGTCAGTGGGTAAATATTGGGCAGTGTTGTTGTCAGTGGGGGAAGCCTTCAACAGTGTATCCTTGTCATTAGAGTATTTTGCGAGAATTTTTGTACTGGATGTGTAGTGCCAACATACAAAATTTATATTATAAATCTCTTTATTTGGTACAGTGGAACCTCGAGTGACGAGCGGCTCCAGTTATGAGCATTTCGAGTAATGAGCAAGCCACTCAGAAAATATATCTTGACTGACGAGCTTTTGCTCGATTAACGAGCGTTCCCGGTGGTTCTCGGACACCTCCGATGACAGTTTTGTTGTTGTTTCGCAAGACGAGTTTTCCACATGACGAGCTCGGTGCCGGAACGGATTAAACCCGTTAATCGAGGCGCCACTGTACATTAATTAATATGATAACAAATAACCTCAATCTATTTGGCTCTCACAGAGAGACAACTTTGTTATAAACATTAGGAAGAGGTTTAGTTTTTATTTGATCTATTATGTATTTGATCTATTATTCGTTGAAGTGTATTTCAGGACTTTAATCAAAATATAGAGTATTGTACTTAAAAATATTGGTTTACAGTAGAGTAATATTTATAGAATATTTCTACATAGAGTACATGAAACTGAGCAGTTATACATTGTAAAAATACATATACAGGCATAGTTAATTTTCAAGTCTTAAAATGAAAATAAATAGCGACTTAATTATGTACTGCTCTAGTCAATGACGATATTTCCAACCATTTTTACACTACACCTATATGAAAATGTGCCAAATTACAAAAGTTTTGTATTTGGAAATTTCAAAATGCTTGAGGGGGATTCTTTGCAAAAACAATTGTGTAATGCCACTCAAATATACAAATGTTAGAACTTGAAAAATTTATTTCACTTGTATTCAGACTCATTGTATATGCTTGTGTTGAGGTCCCCCCCCCCCTAATATATACCTGATGTGAGGCAAGTTAAAATGTTAGGCTGTGTAAATTAATTTCAGAATATGAGAATTTACTAATTTTGCAAAGTAAAATTGTTTTCCAGTAGAGAGAACAGTGAAGAACCCGGGCAACTGGTCATGGCCAATGGGATAATGTGACAGTAATATTAAACAAATAACTTCCATCTGTCATAACTTCTGAAAATGAAGCCAACATTCAAAATTGGCAAAATATTTTTTTTCAAGCCAGTGTCTTGGGTTTCAACTGCTGTACTGTATATATTTTGATAATTTTGTGTTCTTTCATTTTCACTATCAATACCATCAAAATGTTTACTATGCATCATTAATTGAAAGGACTCAGGTTTAAGGGCACTGCTTGGAAGACCTGTAGTGGGTCACGTCTATGTGTCAAAGTTGCTCCTGTTCATGTTTATCAAAAATTTAGAAATGCTGTACAGTTGTTTAGCAACAAAATACCTACTCAATTGAATGTGCATTAGGAGTGTACCAATTTATACAAGCACTGTTCTCGTTCTTAGTTGGAACTTCTTAATTATATTACAACCTTAAAGCATAATTTGCCGATACACTTACTATTCATATGGATTCATATGCCAATTATTTTCTTCATTTTAAGCATGGTGGAACATAAATCTTTGTTTTTAACTTTCAATATTTCTATTTGCTTATACCTAAAAGAAACTTGTGAAACGTTCATTGAAACCTTATAAATTTTGTATTTTCTTATAACTGAGGCAATATATTCTAAAAGAGGAAAGCAATTAGCAAATAATGTTTGGCGCCTGTACTGTACTCTCCTCTGTGTTCATACTATGACATCTCGTCCTGTCCTTACTAATGACATCTCGTCCTGTCCTCACTAAATTATATTTTTTCTGGAAGACCCTCCCCTTCTTCAGTAGCTTCCCAAGCTAAGTGCAGGTCCTGCCAAGCCTTAGGGAGATGCACCAGGTCTCTGAAACACACCCTCGCCTGCCTGGAGTCATGACCTGAATCGGGTTTCCTCTGAGAGGTGAGGGGAGCTGGAGATCAGAGATCAACCCAAAACGAAGAGAAAAACTTCACCAGAAAGCTTGAGCACACAAAAAAGTCACCATGAAGAAAATGAGAACCCTCGGGTAACAAGACTAACGCTCATTGTCACAAGCATAAACACCATAACCATGCTGCACGTGACTGCCCACCAGGTGACGGGCCAGGTTACCTGGGGTCCATGTCAGCCCTCCCTCTCTGTTGTATAGTCAGTCTTGTGAGGCTGCCATCCATCATTCACACAATTGGCTTTTCACCCCTCTGCTCCTAATTTTGGTGGTTGCCCTGTTGTGCACTATGAGGCTTCTAAACCTGGATTTTAGTGCACCTGATTTTGACCGTGGCTATTCTCAAGCTGTGTGTGAGGCTATATTTGGGTTGTGGGCCCAGCTATTCCTAGGCAGTGTACTTGGTCTGTGTAAGCCTTGTTTTTAGATGCCCCTTGAGCTATATGCCTTGATGCTTCACGGTAGGTTTTCCGGATATTTCAGAGTTGATTTTGGGTTTGGTACCAGTGCCTTTCTAGGAGTAATGCTAGTTGGTTCCCATGCAGTGTCTAGCATTTGCTGGGTTAGTTGCCTTGGCTTCCAGGGCATTGGCAACTGTCTTGCTGGCCTGGCTGTGGTAGCGGCATACCTTTACCTCCAGACCTGGTGGTGGCATACCTTTACCTCCAGACCTGGTGGTGGCATACCTTTACCTCTGGACCTGGTGGCGGCATACATTTTACCTCTGGACCTAGTGGTGGCATACCTTTACCTCTGGACCTGGTGGCCTGTAATTCCTTTAGGAAACTGGGATTTGGTGGATGGATTACTGAGCTATTAGATTTGGATTTAGGGTTCTTATGCCCAGGTCTCAGGCTTGTTGATGCCTGGCATCTCTGGGAATTTTGGTTTTGGTCTGTTCTCACTTCCTTGCTGTGATTCTTGGCTGCTTATCGTGTGTTTTTTTGCTTGGGGCTTGTTCTGAGGGGGTCCACCTTGGCTCTGCCTGTTGGCCCCTTGGCCTCATTGTACTTTTTTTGCACTTTGGCATTTGGAGCACTGTGGATACCACTCTGCCCTATGTACTCTTCTTCTGTCTTCATCCTTGGGTGATCTTTGACTGCATATTTCTTATGACATCTTTGTTCCTTTTCAGAAATGGTGGCTTTGTACTATTGTGAGTTACCTCAGGTAGGAACTGAGGGAGCTCTCTCAATTTTTTTTTTAAATTCAATGAGATGTACTCTTCTGGTTGGGCCGTCGGTAGTGCCTATCCCTTCTATGTCACCTTTTTTCTTGCAGTGTAATGGGTGGTTCCTGTTTGGGCAGCTCACGCGTAAAGGGTGCCTGGTGTTACCTTGCGACCTTGGTGGACAGATTCATGATGGGTTGGGTATATACTTCGTGCCAACAACTATTTACCTCATTTTCTTCAAGCAGCTGCTTGTTTTGTTGCACTTATGCTTTTTGATGTTTTTTATTGGTTTTGAGTTGAATTCTGATCCCCCAAGCTTCCCTTGTAGAGAGCCAGATTGTGTTCCTGGCTCTTGGTAGAGGAGGAGTTAAGACTCAGGCCTGGAGCATCTCCCAATGTCTTGGCCAGGTGAGCACCTAGCTTGAGGGGGTTATGTGAGCCCCATCAGAATAGGCCATTTTATTGCATTCAGAGCTTGATGTTTTTGTTTTGATCTTGTCAAGCATTGTCATTATGGTCAGTTGATATCATAATTTCTCATATTTAAACATTCCTCCTGTATTAAGCAGTAGTCTGAAAGGTAATTATATTTTTATGTACAGCTAAGCTTTTATTGAATTAACTTTCTTTTTAGCACATTACAATAGTTCATTGTTTACAGCTGCATAATCTATTAATGCTGTTTACCATCTATTTTTACTTACGCTAAGTATTAGAGTAGACACTGAAAGTGTCTTGACTCCTGTTCCACCTTCTTTATCCATTACCATTTTGCCTGTTGACATCCCATTTTCCTAATGGTAAGATGACTAGAGCAGTCTTTTGACTTCTTGTCCACAACTACAGCTTTGATGCTACATTCCCACTGCAACTTGAGAGGTAGCTACGTACAGAATCTTCTCCAAGATTTCACTTATAAAGAGCAGTGAACTGCTCCAAGACCAGTTTAAGAATCCTCTAATGGTGCTCAAGTAGCTCAATGATAAAGGTTTAAAATAGTGGCCAGTGAGCAGAATAGTGTTTGTAACTGCTCCCGTTATTTTGACATGTTATTTCCCCAGTTCTGATATATTATTGGTGTTGTTTGGTCCTTAACTACTCTTTAGTGGAGGGCACTGGAATGTGATAGTGTCTAGTGCTCTCTGAAAAGTAACTTGTAATATGGTGTATCTACTTTGCCTCACTTTTTTGTTTGCCACCTGTATTCAGCCCTTGGTTGAGAGGGTGTTCCCGTAGACCTTAATCAGCACACGCATAAATCCGATATTCAATGGATTATGTAGTCAAACTTCAGTAATCTTTTGTTGCTAATTATTGTTTATGGTATTTACACTGACTTTTTAATAATTTTGACTATGACATTAGCCACCAGTTAAATAGTAGTCACTGGTGAGTTTATACATTCTTTACTGCATTTGCAACATTCCTTTTTACTTGTACACAAACTACATTTAAATTTTTTTTTGCTTAAGTGTAAACTGTGTAGTAAAGATCAAATTACAGTGCAGTATTTCAGCAGCTGGGCCTTTGCATTCTCTGGTCCAGATAATATTTTGTTGATGACTTATTGAAATATGATCAACTGTTGGGACTTGATAAAAAAAAAAAAGCTGTAAAGAATTTTAGGTTTATATGGACCTAAAACTTGTAGAATGTAAGTAGCTGTTGACAAAAGATCGTGATCTCTCTGCATATAAGCAGTAGCTTTATATTTTATTACTCAAATGCTGTGAAATGTTGGTAATTGAGAGTTTTGAAACCATCCCTGGTTTATGTTCATGGCAGCTAACCTGACCCCCTTGAGAAGCAGAGCAGCAGTTGAGGTTGATCGGCTCGTCTTTATGCCTTATTGCTCTTTGTGACACCATGGATATATATGAACTTTTTCTGAATGTATAAGATGTTTTTATGTGAGTGATGCGTTTTTGTACGAGCCAAATGTGTGTGAAGTTGACGTGTTGTAGTTTATTCTGAATGCATTAAAGTCTTGAGCGAGTGATGCATGTTATTAAAACCAAAAGTGTGCAAATTTGACATGTAGCACAGTTGATAGCAGTGAATATGCTGACTGGTTATTATTGTACATAAGTGACTCGGTAGTGTTCTGTAAATAGTAGTATTTTGTACCATTGCTTTCCACATAGGTTTTGACTATTGTGAATGATGTATGTGCAATGAAACTGGATGGCTGATAAAGCTCATCCATTCTTTTATTTTTTGTACATTTTACTCCTGAGTTATTTGTTTAATTTTGTGCCAATGTTGTTGTCCGATCACAGTATTTATATCTATAAAGGTTTATATTGATGCATTATTATTTGTTTATAATTATTATATGTTGTCCATTACCAAATGTTTATTTTTTAAAATTTATATGAAGACTCCAAGGTATGCTTAATGACAATATAATTGCTTCTTCACAATGGGCTTATTCTTTTAATGTTCTGCAGCCTACACCAGTACTAGTACCTCAATTGTCTTAATGATTTTTGTATAAAACAGGATCGTTTCTATAGTTTTGTTGAAACTTTAAATTTAACAACATGAATGGGAGGTAGGCTGAAGGTCAGGCATAAGTGCAGAGTAATTCAATACCATTTGGGGGAGCCGGTCGGCCGAGCGGACAGCACGCTGGATTTGTGATCCTGTGGTCCTGGGTTCGATCCCAGGCGCCGGCGAGAAATAATGGGCAGAATTTCTTTCACCCTATGCCCCTGTTACCTAGCAGTAAAATAGGTACCTGGGAGTTAGTCAGCTGTCACGGGCTGCTTCCTGGGGGTGGAGGCCTGGTCGAGGAACGGGCCGCAGGGACACTAAGGCCCCGAAATCATCTCAAGATAATCTCAAGATAATCAAGATACAGTACTTGACATATTGAAGTGAGTGAAAGTTTGGTCATGATTAGACACTCGTCTTAATTTAGAAACCTAGAAACATACTGTGCCAGGTTATGATACCATTACCTTTTCTAATGTACTGTCAAGACTGAAAGGGGGCCTACTAGACTCTATATATATTGTCTACTGCTACATAAAGTGGAGAGAGAGAGAGAGAGCACAGTATGATGGTGGTGTTAAAGATTCGCTACCTGGAACAAAGTTCCAAGTAGCACGGGCTATAGTGAGCCCGTAGTCATAGTATGGTGTAGCTGGTATAGAATGGCATTTGTGTAGTTTACAGTGATCTGTATTGATATTGCTTAAAATAGTTCATCACTTGCATTTCATTATAATCAGATATATGTAGAGTTGTTGTTATTATGGATTGTACAAGGCTGAACCATGCTTTGCAGCAGGTGTCATTATACTTGTTGAACCATGTCCTGCAGCAGGTGTCATTATATACCTGCTGAACCTGGTTATTAAATTTTATAGGGCACTTACCTGTATGGTAAAGGGTTATATCCTTGTGCCTGGAAAAGAAATCTTTGAGGGGTGTTGTCTTCTCCATTATGTGCTGCTTTCCCCGCAGAGAGATCAGTGCATTTTTACTATGGAGCTTTGTGTTTTTATACACAGATACGCGAACAGTATAGTACTGTGCATGTGCCAACGATCATTTCTTTTAATTGATTTGTAGTGCTCTTTTTGGTTCTGGAATCTTTTTAACCTTTCCTGTTCTGTAACGACTACGATCCAATATTGGCTGTACCTCATCTTTAGCAGATTTAAGTCTCTTAGTTTTGCTGGGTTCCACCCATAACGACGTTGCCTCTAATAACTTAATGGACGCCACTACTAGAGGCTAGTTATGCTTGTCCTATTTCCCAGAAGCAAATTTCCTATTTGGATATTTATTCTGTCATTCATAATGACATCTGCAACCATTCGAGATAGATGGTTAACTATTATGAATAACAAAATCACATACTCTAAAATGTGACCTATTTCCCTGCCTCCTCCCGGCCACCAAAACAAAGTATGAAACATCACTAGCAAGGTTACATATTGACCATACAGTTAACTCGTGGGCAGTTAATGAAAGAGAGACCTGCATCTTTCTCTCAGAACTGTTATTCCACTAATAGTAGTACACAACCTCACAGAATGTCCCGACTTTCATGAGTGATCAGTAATATAGCTTTCTCTTCACTATCATATGTCCCTCTATCAACTCTTGGGTGAATCCGATTCCTTTAACATCACTCGTCTCGTGTCTTTTGGTCTTGTATTGGCATCCTGGATATTTTTAATGTTCTGTAACAGTGCTATATAACTATCTGAGCTTGGCACTTGAAAATTACGCATTTGGGATACATTAGTACAATAAACTAATAGTTAATTTTTAACTTTTTATAAATTATCACAACAAGAATTATTATTTTATAAAGAATTATTAATCTGGGAGAAAATTGGCATTGCCTTCTTAGAATCTAGATAATATTTATGTAACCCTAAAATCTATGAGAATTATTTTGCCCAAAGTACAAAATCTAGGGTCATGATACAGTATTACAAAAAGAGCCCATCTTTTTATATAATTTTCCATTTCACTAAAAACATCGTTCATGGAATATTTCCAACATTGCCAAAATTCTCGTAATTTGTATCAAAAGAAAAATGCTGGATGCAATCTACTGTATGCATAAGGATTCTTAACGTAAACAGTATAACTGTTAAGGTCTTGAATTGGCCATTCTTCAAGACATGTTTCTTGTCCAGAGGGCATAAGTGCTGCATAAAATTAGACCTGGATTTTGAGTGATCTGTATATGATATAAGTAACCCACAGTGCTCTCCACCAGGATAGCTGCTACAGCATAGTTTCTATGCTGGATTAGTTAGCAGTTGGCTCACTGGAGTAGTGTATGTAAATGTATTACAATTAGTGTTCATGATTTAAGCTTTCAGATTTTCACTATTTTCTCTAGTAGCACTCTTTTTATTCATCGCTAAAGTATGATGATTTGGTGAATGGTACCAGTAAGTAATGGAAAGATAATAACTATACAATGTAATCTTGATTAAAAGGTACTAAGGAGTATGCTGCAGCCATTAATTACGTAGGGTGTTGTGTAGCCTTCCAGGCTTGGCACTTTATTGATACTTAAATTGTGTAGTACTGTATAAACCATGCAGGAAGGTACCATTAAGTACAATTTCAACCATAAATGGTTTTTGTCCATTTTCTTTAATAATAACTTTTGTATGATGTCATTAAGCATCACTAAATTTTTTATCTTTTTTTAACATCTTTCAGCCTGCTTCCCGAGCCTCCCCTTCACTCCTTAAGAGTGGAACCCTCGTACTGTATAATTTGCTAATGTCATTGTATGCCTGTTTTGTCTTCATTAAAATTTTATTGGAATGAATGAAAAAAAAAATTAATTGCAGTGTGATAAATAGTTTTTGAAAATCTGTAATTTAGAAACAACCATAAAATTCTTGCATTGTAATCAAATAGTAATTTTTACAGTAACATTTGACCAGTCTTCTCCATAGTTAAATATTTGTTACTGTAAAATGTGGATAGATTTTTTGTTGTACAAAATTTACAAAAATTTATTGAACTTCCATCTTTGCATATTTTTTTATTATTGTAGTTTGTTTCTGCAGGCAAGTGTATTACTGTACATAGTAACAAAATGTGATTTAATGTACTTACTACTGTAATCAGTTTTATGAAATAAAGATTACAAAAATTAATTTAAATTGAGATTCCTTGGCTTAGCACTTTCTTTTGATGGCATGCATTTCGATGATCTGTGGGGCAGTTGGAGACTTTCTCTTCTTCTGACCTAAGGTGAGGAGTGAGACATACTTGAGCTATGGCAGTCTCACCAATGTGTTTTCTGTCCATAAAGACCTATAATTATTCTTTTCCTTTCATTTGGACGAGTACTTTGTCATAAATTTTTGTGCCAAGTTGAATAATTCCTCTGTCCTCTACCTCTATTGTCAGTTTATCTGGTGCCTGTTCCCTCCACTTACTTCGGGCTATGGGTCCTGTGGATGCCCTATGGAAGGACTTGACAGGGACTTATTTGCAAGGACCTATACCTAGGTGATTGGTGGGGAGGGGGGGAACCTTCTGTCCACCTTATTCTCTTGGGAGATTTTAGGAAAGGACCCTACTTTGTGAACACATGCATGCTTCCTTCCTTCCTTTTGGGTTCTTCCTAAGTGTTAAGAAGGTCCTTTTCTGGAGGTGGGGGGACCCTCAGGGGTTTGGGGTTGTTGGTGCCTGGTCCTGAGGATTGGTGCTGTGCATGGAGACTACTTATCGTCCATTCCAGTTAGTTGGATTCTGCCTCGGCATCCTGCCTCGCAGGTTTCCATCGTCTCGTCTACTCCCACCTGCCACTCGGGCACACTTCTGTTCCTGCTGGGACTGGGACCATGCTCAGGAACATAAATCTGCCCGAGTGGCAGATGAGACGATGGAAACCTACGAGGCAGGGTGCAGAGACAGAATCCAGATAAGTAGTCTCCATGCACAGCACCAACAAACCCAAGCCCCTGAGAGTCCTCCCTCCAGAGAAGGACTCTCCTGACACTTGGGAAGAATGCAAAGGAAGGAAGCAAACATGTGTTCACAAAAGAAGGTCCCTCCCCAAAATGTCCCAAGAGAATAAGGCAGATAGAAGGGTCCCTCCCCACCAACCACTTAGATGTAAGCCCTAGCAAATAAACCCCTGCCAAGGCCTTCCATGTGGGGTCTACACAACCCAAAGAAAACTTGGAGCTTCAACAAATGGAGGGAACAGGCACCCGATGAACTGACAAAGGAGAGGACCCAGAAGGATTAACCTTTGCACAAAAGTTAATGGAAAAAGTGCTGATCTACCACCCACTGCTTTTTAACCATTCTAGGCCACCTAATAAGAAACCAGGTAGCTTGATATCGAAGTACTGCCTGCACCTGATAAGCCATCGCTTGCAAGGGTGGCTGAAGCAACATGTATGTTGTTGCTAAACATATGGCACAAAGGTGAGGTGTAGAAAAAAAAAAGATTGATGAAACCAACAGGCAGAATGCTGGAAACAGCAGGAGTGGCTGTGTGACACTAACAGCAGCAACTTGCACTCTTTGAGAAGTGGCAGAATCTGGTTCAGAGATGGGCTCAGTCATGCCTCGCACCTAAACAGGCCCTGAGGCAGGAACACTACAGACCTAACTGGGGGACCAAGCATAGAGGCTGGGTGCAGGAAACATTTCGGTGATGAAACAATCCATCCTACTGAGATTTCCCAAGATCATGAAACTCATTAAAGTGCCCTTATCCTAACCTACCCAAGAACCCAAAACAGAAAACGGAACAGTATATCAATTTTGCGAGCTGCTACCATTTTTGGCCTTAGGTAGAGTATACATGAAAATGCGACATTCTATTAGGAAGACGGGTTGGATCAAGAACCTATGTCATCAGGAAAAATGTATACAAACAAACACAATGCATACTCTGATGAAATGATAGCAAAAGCTAGGCAACAGACTTCAACCACAGGTCTTGCAGAGGGATCAAATGTTCAACCCCACATGAGAACCTGGAGGAATAAACCTGAATCCCATGTGGAAGAGAACCTTCAGAGGTAAGGAAGTTTAACAGGCATTTGCTGTAAAAAATTTTTTATAGAAAATGAGAGAAAATATTACATCAAGAATTATTGTTTGTGGAACATGTTTACTGACCTCAACATAACAGATGGTCCACATCATATATTTATATTTGAATAGCATTTCTAGACTCATGGTAGCAGAATGTGACAAAACCAGGGGGTTGTTCAAATTGCTTCCTGGGCTAGTTATCCTCAGGTATGGGATTTTCTACACACCAGCAAAATGTAGCTGCCGAGGACTTCTTGCACATCCTTATGGACAGTACAATTCAGCTTCCGTAAAGAATACAGGACAAATGTTGTGTAGAAATATCTTGAGGTTTAAACATCAAATATTGTACAAGCGCATAAAATAAAATAAAACCTTAATTTGGAGGCATTTGACAAAGGTAAAAGCTTGTAATGAATTCATTTAAAACATATCAAGATTGTACAGTAATATATTCCATCACCCACTCCTCGTACATCACATAAGGAACAAGGCAATAAAATTCAATTAAATATTCAAATCATTACATGATATTTTAATGGTTCATTCAATTCTACTTAGTGTGTAAAATTAGTTTTCAATATACTGTATATTCTCAGATTTTTACACAAAAGTTGTTATAGAATATTTTAAAGATTAATATGAAGCACTTCCACTCAATAACCTACATTTGCAGAAAACAAATTAATTCTTAAAGGCATGATCACAAGAACCTGATAAATCAAAAATACCTAAAACTAAATGTAGTGCTTTAAATGCATTTGTGACAAATTCCAGTAAACAAAGCAGAAATCACTAATGCTTCTTCATAATCTGCAGCAAAATGACCAAAACATTTCTAGTATGTATGAAAATACTTTGGTTCTGAACACTTGGCAAGAGAGAAATTTACGTTTTTACTACGTACTCTTTGCCTAAAAACAAGGTTCCCATTTAACCAACTCCGAGAAGACCGAGGCACCGATGACATTTATTGTTATGTACAGAATTTTATGTTAGAACTTAAAAGAAATCTCTTCTACACCTGAAGGTTGTGTATGTCACTGCAGTCATTGGGTAAAGCTAAGTGCACTCTACCAAAATAATAAATATAACACCTGAAGTCATGCCCATGTGTGTGTGTGTGTGTGTGTGTGTGTGTGTGTGTGTGTGTGTGTGTGTGTGTGTGTGTGTGTGTGTGTGTGTGTGTGTGTGTGTGTGTGTGTGTGTGTGTGTGTGTGTGTGTGTGTGTGTGTGTGTGTGTGTGTGTGTGTGTGTGTGTGTGTGTGTGTGTGTGTGTGTGTGTGTGTGTGTGTGTGTGTGTGTGTGTGTGACCGCAAATGCTGCCCTTCAAATACTGCACAAAGATACACTTGACAAGAATCACTCCAGCTGCAGTATTTACTACTTGTTCAAACAATATCATAGAGATAAATTGCAAAAAAGCTCACTTGTTACAAAAACATCATAAGGAGTTATAATTTTGATGCATCACTGTAAACTCTTAAATATTTATCACACGTCTCTTAATCATAAGATTTTCTGAATGATATTCAGTTATCAAATACACTAACAACAGGAATTTTATCTGCTTTTTAATATCAACCATTACCATGTATTACACTGCCAAAGAATGTAATTAAACATGATTTCTCCACAAAAAATGCACAACATGCAACTAACAGCCAAAATTTAAATAAAATACAGTACCTATGATTGAAGTAGCTTGAAATATTCTGATATTCCACATTATTTGAATCACACTCAAAATAAAAAAAAATTGATGTAGAAGATACCCCCAGAAAAGCACAGAACTCTTCAATCTTCTCTAGGTACCACGCGCACTATTAAAACTGCTATGTTATAAGTGTTCACAGCTGGTCCCTCAACATTGCTAGACCTGAGCTACCCAATTCATTCCTGATTATGCTGCACCGATTACAGTTGATAAACTCACGCTACAGCGTGAAGTACAATGACCTATGCAGGCGATGAATCACAATAACGTGGCTGAAGTATGTTGACCAGACCACACACTAGAAGGTGAAGGGACGACGACGTTTGGTCCCTCCTGGACCATTCTCAAGTCACTTGTCTTGACAATCAACTTGAGAGTGGTCCAGGATGGACCAAAACATCGCCGTCCCTTCACCTTCTAGTGTGTGGTCTGGTCTACATTGACCTACTTATGCATGAGCCATAATGTAAATGAGCTTGGTGTACAAGAGTGAAAGTGATAAAATGCAGTTCTTTTGAAGTTGGCTCGAATCAAGAATACCTTCCTGCCCATTAAATATCAACAGTGGAGCTGTGGGTCTTACCTTTTCTGTCGAACTACATAAATTGTGCAGCTGTAGATCATGATGTTAGCTCTTCAGTATAATCTGGAATACCTGTGGTCTTAGCCATACCTTCTAATCCTTATTAGTTACCTTTTCTCAATTACTAAAAAATTTACAAATGCAACTGCACAACACCAGCTACATAACCTTCCAACTTGTGTACATGTTATGTCTCCACCCATCTTCCTCCAAACCTTAGGACTTCAAGCAAGAAATACAAAAAGGTTAAATGAACAATAATATGGTTGATCAGGGTATATACAGGGTGTCCCAGACTTAGTTATCTATTTCCAAGAAATTGGACGAATGATTTAAAAACTCATGTTTAATAATGTTTATCATGTTTAATGCGTGTGATAAATTAAAAAAATTATAACTTATTCCTTCTCTTTTTCAGAACCCAATCATGAATACACAAGGATTGCTCTGCAATCCTTTGCCCTGTATCAAAGGATTGCGATACAATAAAATCAGAGAAAGATTTACAAGGAAATTTCACAGAATTGGTCCTACAGACAAAGCAATTGATGAACTTGTGAACAAATTTGAAAGAGCTGGATCCATACAAAATGTGTTAGATTCAAAGTGGAGGTTAGATTCAAAATATGCAGGGATTCTGACGGAGCACATATTGAAAGTTCTCAATATAGATTTGACTTATGATTTAGAACTCTATATGTTTTTGTATCAAAATAAGGTAATAGCATGAAATTATGAAGGTTTAATAGATTCGTGCAATTTCACGGAAATTGAGAGCTAATTCTGAGACAATGTGTATCGTAAGTACAAAATAAAGTAAAATATGACCAGGGTGGGAATACCACCATAAACTACAATATTTGACAGTGCAGACATACAGGGAGCTTAAATGAAATGAGTGATGCTTCACAAACCTGAGTGAACTAAACATAATGGAATAAATGTTCAAAAGCTCATCTGAAGGTATACAAAATGCATGAGGTAAAGAAAATTAAAGTAAATTACCAAAATCAGGTGGCAATTTTTTTTTTTGACAAAGTAATTCCAATTATGGTTTGACGTGAATATACAGCAGTCACAAGAGTGCCAATTACATACAAATTTGTTTAGATGAAATTACTGACCGGCCATCAGCCAGTAGTGTATATAATGACCCATCCTCCTGGGAAGATGGTACTTTTTTTGTAACTACCTGTACTCAGTATGTGGACAATCATACAAATATCGACGTGATGGACAAATAGAAGGTAGAATTGGGTACTAGAGTATTAATTTGATGAGAGACCAGAAAAAATAAAGCTAAAACCCAAACTTTAATATTCCTAGGCCTAGTATAGCACATATATGTACTATATTAGGCCTCAGATAGTGTGCATTAGGCCTAGGATGGTGAGACTAGGGTTCATTTGCAACATAAATAGGAAAAACTTCTCCAGTTTGTCAAAATTCAGTAATACAAAAGTCTATGTTCTATTGGTCCATCATGTGTCTACAGTATTTGTATAATAGACCACATCGTCACTAAAAGTATTTCCATTTTAGGAGGAGGGGCTGTACATAGCCATCAGAGAATACTATAAATTGGCAATTGACATCACAGGCTCACTTTGGCTCTTAAAATCTGAAAATCACATTATCTCATTTCTCTAATTTGCTGGCACATTCCTAACACATCATTTCCATGACTTACCTTGAATATGGTGTTTGAACAATTGTAAGCTGCTTCCACAATTCTTGGTTAGTAAGAATGGTGAAGACACCTCAGTTTTCAACGCACTAAAGAAAGATCTAAGTGAAGCGTGTAAAGCTGTTATATTGAGGATTAAGAAATTATACTCATTAACTTCCCTGTTAAATTTGTTGATAGTTTTGGTAAAAAATAAAAGCTATATTGCTAAAAATGTTACAAATACCGTGTCTTGTTTACAAAAGTTAGGCAAAACAGTTGCTGATTAAAACTGACAATTCAGTCTAAGAGTGACCCATGGCTACTACTCGAGCTTTTGGAAGATTTTGATGATTTCTTCTTAGATTTGCTTCCACTGCGCTTGGCTAGGGACGAAGTGGAATTGTTAGTGGAGGTAGAGTCTGCAGGGGAGGTGGTGTTGGAGTGGTCGTTGTCCCACGAGGAGCCAAGCTGTCCATCATCCAGACCATCAATATCTACATGCATGTCCTCAGTGTCGCCCAGACTACGACTGGTCGAGTCAGCAGCTCGAGTTTCTGCTCCAGAACCATTAAGAACCTGAAAATTTACACAATACACTGTATTGAGAATTGGGAGAAAAAAGGTTTCGAAGATGAGAACGACAAACTGAGACATAAATCCCCCATGGTAACTAAATTAAACATACAATGTTTACAACACAAATTGACATATTACACATTGCCACATATGTACTCTTGACAATGGGTGTGATACAGTATGCCATAACAGAAAAACCATATTAGCAGAGCGGCAAGGCCAAAATGTGTACTTGACAAATGTACAATTTATGATACAACCACCAAAACCATGAACAGTACTGATAGTGGAAATGATGGATAATTAGCACTTGGACACATGTATACATGGAGAATAGAACCCAAATGATTTTGACAGAATAATTCACCTAACTAGGCCAATTAGGCCAAAAAATTAAAGGCTTAATTACATACCATTTACCTTTTCATATACTTGTCATGGTTACAATAGTAGCACCACTAGTACTGGTAATAATACGATTAACAATAGTTGTTGTTTTAGTGGTAGATGGTGTATCAGTTGTAATAGGTGATAAGTCAATACCACAATGGTTTCATTGTTTCTTTGGAGGGTCACCCTTAACATATAACACTGTCAAGATGCAACAGCTTCAAATGTGTTGATCCAGAGTGTCCTAGCACATCATACTTCCAATACTGAACTGACTCCAACTGGAAGCTGGATATCGTCTGCCAAGAGGACAAGGCATAATCATCTGACACCCTTATTCATATTCATAAAGAACTGTTATAGGAAGTGAATATACTTCATTGGTAGAATAACTAAATTCAGTAAACTGGGTTAACTTCCACAGACAATGTAGATATCACCCTTCGAAGATGCAACATTGAGGCTACCATGGTCACTGGCAATGCATATCATCACCACACATCTTGAGATGGTTATCTTATCTTGAGATGATTTCGGGGTTTAATGTCCCCACGGCCCGGACCTCGACCAGGACACTTTTTTTTGTTACACACCCCCAGGAAGCAGCCCGTAGCAGCTGTCTAACTCCCAGGTACCTATTTACTGCTGGGTAACAGGGGCATCAGGGTGAAAGAAACTCTGCCTATTTGTTTCCGCCTCCACCGAGGATCGAACCTGGAACCTCAGGCCTACAAATCCGAAGCACTATCCACTCAGCTGTCAGGCCCCATACGCCAGCTCAAATTCAATAACACTGTTGTACAGAACAGAAACAGACACTAAAGACAGACACACTGAGCCAAGATGGAGACCAACCAGCTGCATGCAAGCATATGAGGTTACAACCATCAGTTGAGAAGATAATCCAGGTGCCATTGTGATGCTTCTGTAGACAAGCAACTGGTCTGGAAAAGCTTCGAGACGCAGCAACTTTGCAATTAGAGAGCTGGGTGTCATTGTGTTGACAGCTGGGTGCCATTGTGTCGACAGCTGGGTGCCATTGTGTTGACTTCATACTTCTTGAAGACGCAGACATTCTGGCCACACTCAGTGCAAGTCACATTGTGGCTCTGGAGGCTTAGAAAGTCGAGTCAGGAGAGCCAACTTTGGGAAACCCAAAGAAACTGACCACAAGAAGAAAGTATCCTCTAATTTATTTGCCAAATTGGTTCTCTACACCCAAGACACATCTGGACATCTCAATATGGAGACAGCACCCATATTCAAAATACTTGATCTTGCCTGCCTCCACATGTCAAAGTTATTGAAGCATGGAGTCAAACTCAATGAGTGAGATACATGTATTGCAGTACACTATTGAGGTTCAGATATTGTAGCACAATGCATCCAATTGCGTCTGCACTATAAAATATGTCATTACACATTATCACATCAACTACATTTATATACAATTATTTAAAAACAAGGCTCAGGAAACATACTGTGACCTTCACAAATAAGACAAGCTGTAGTGGGAGTGTAAACTCTAAGGTGCCAAACTTGGCTACTGTAAAATACATCAGGTTATGCCAATGTCTCCATATAATTCCCATTGTTGGTGGACAGGAAACCTATACTGTACTGAGGTATACCAAGGTTTTTCCCTCAGGTCAACACAATGCATTGTTTAATGAGGTTGACCAATGTGATATCTGTTAACGTGGATGCCCTCACAACAACAAGTAAAAACAACTAATAAAGAGTAGAGCATCAGCTGACTGTACTGAAAGTCACCCCTTGGCTTCTTACTTGTATGTTCCAGGTCACTAACCTAGGTCACTCTGTGTAGACTGATCACACCAATAATAATTCCCATTGTCGGGGATAGGTCCCTCCCCCTTGGGCCAACTGCTGGCCTTTCCCAGGATGCAACTCACATTTGTCTATCTCTGGGGTACCAATTTACTACTTGTAAAGAGGCATTAGGTGAAAGGACACAAGACCATCCATTTCTCTCCTATCCGGAGACTGAACTTGGGTCCTTGATGCATGTAATTGATAATTTATTTAATAATTCATTTTGTCAGGGTACATGCAGCCTGTGTATATATATACGTGTTAGGTTTATACCAAGGTCCGCCCCCTTCCTCCAAGGTCGAACTACTGTACTGAACCTTCCCAGGATGCAACCCCACAGCAAACTGACTAACGCCTGGGTATCTATTTACTGCTAGGTGAACAGAGGCATTAGGTGGTATGAAACATGCCCAACCATTTCTGTTCCACCCGGGATTTGAACCCAGAATTTCCAATTGTGAATCGAGAATAAACCCGACTGTACTACTGGAACATGATTATGTTCATCTCCAAGTTTATGAACCTATAGAAAGCAGCATCTACCATATTGATAGATCTAAATCTCTTAGCTCTACTCTTACATCACTGAGGAAAGAACAGTAAACAACGGAGACATTATTCAACAACATACCTGATCCCTGACAGCCTGTCTCTGTTCATTACTGTGCTGAGGACACCGCAGGGAACGAGTGCACATTTTGTGTGTGTGCTCCGAGATCACTCCACAAATCTGTTTCAGAATGGCACGCTTCTCCTCTGTTGTTCCTGAAGCCAACGTATTTTCAACGCTGCTACTAGATGATATGCTATCAGACTTGAGCTGCACAGAAATTATAACTGTAAAACAATTTGATATTTTTTTATGTTTAGGAATAGTTTAAGGAACATTATTTGCTCTGGGTCACCTAAAGAAGCTATTGTGTGATGTTAAGGATCTGGAATAATTTACTGTTCTATTCTATTACTGTATTGATACGTTAAAAAGTGAGAGATGGCACATTTGATTATTTGTAAGAATGACAAGTCCTTGAGATGTCTTGAACATTTAAATTTTATCATTGTAAACATACTGCCCTGATAAGTCACTATTGTAATATAATCTAAATATGACATTCATAATATTTGTGCAATATAAGAGTGCTCTAATACACAGTCAGCCATAACATATCTAGGGCATGGCTTGAATGTACATAAAGAACAAGACAGGGCCATGGCTGATTAACCTTCCTGAATTTTCAGCCATAATCATATCACTACGTGTTTCTATACATATGCATATGTGAAATGTTTTATGAAAAACTCAACACCTAACCTTAGCACTTTAGATTGTGGCCGGGAATTTTCATTTTACTTCATAGAAAGTAAAGCTATAATTAAAAACACTCAAATCCATTCTACACTAATTATTATTAATGCTTGTTTTATAACTGTGATGTACTTTATGCACTGCCAAAACAAGTACAACTGTACATTTGTTGCATGTGCAACAAATAATTTTAGTAAACAAAAAATATAATATGTTACAAATAGTAATGAGTTACAGTACTATTTGTGCATGTAAAACGCTTACCTTTACATTTTTTGATCTACGAGGCGAGTTCTTATCTCGCCTCTTTCGTTTGCGGTCAATGACCCAGTCGTCATCATCATCATCGTCACTTCCTCCAGTATGGTTTTGTGTATTCTCTTTAGTAGAGTTCTGGATGCGTCTACTAGCTATGCGCGAGGAGTTTCTACCCATGCCCATACACTTTTCTAAGTGTGGTGCGAACCTGTAATTTGGATGTAATCACACAATACTGTACTGTACCTGCTGTTTTAATTATTAGAGGTCGGTATCTAAATGAAGGTTTAAGTAGGATAAGTAGAACTGGCAGGTTTCATGACACCCTCTGACATTCAAGCATCTTGGTTAATGGTTAAAAATATATATTTGAGTGACAGAGTACATATATCAACAATAAATTATTTTTGAGTTGCAGATACCTACAACATTCTGCTGTAATTATCAAGAGAGTTTTCTGTCTTAAATTTCTGTGCTGTAATTGAAAACAAATTATTCTTTCAATTTTAAATTAAAATGTAGCAGTAGTTACATAAGAAGCACACTAATGTAACTTTTAAACTAATTTTCTGATTACAATTACTGCATGTAACCCATCGAAGAATGCAGAGAAAAACAGAGGTAAACAATATGACAATGTTAGAGACATACAAGAGCAAAACCGACAATAGTGCACCATAACGAACCATGAAACATTAATCGTGCAAAACCCTTACCTTGACGCTGCCAAGTTTCGTGAGCAGCTTGGACAGACACACTCGTGTTGTTTCTTGATGGGTGCTTGACCAAACACATCCAGTCCCTCAGCATTCACCTGAACGAGTTATTTCATTACACTATAGTAGTTAGGTTTTATTTATAGCTGATCAAGGAAGGTATCCCTGGTCTGTGCCAGCCTTCATATATATTACATACATACATACATACATACATATATATATATATATATATATATATACACACACACACACACACACATACATACTGTATACATATGCATATGTATGTTGTTCCCAAATGTTTAAAAAATCATTTGAAGACAGTCAACCCCACTGGTGTTGGAAGAAATATGACACTTGAGTGAATATAGTAATACTGTACCTGTAAAAATTTGTGTTCCTCTTCAACTGAGCCCAACTCCAGCATCATCAATCCTGTTTTGACACTCTGATGCACCTCAAAGACAACATCTGCAGCAAAAATACACACACACACACATAATGAATGAGGAAAACAAGATGTGACCCGCTGATACTGTTGCACTGAACACAGCCCAATTACAGCACACACCATCAACGACATATTTTATTGGACAGGAAGTGGCAAGGATATACGCTAGTCATTGCTAATAGCTTCATCAAATTATTACTGTATTTTAATACTAAACCTCAAATGCAAGACACTTTAAACTCTATATGAGTAAGAGTGAATATAGATTTTACAAATGAAGATTTAAAATATAAGTACACTGCAAAAAGTAAAAAAAAAACTGATTAGTGTAGATTACAAAAATGAAAACACAGCTTCAGAAACTTTGGAAACGGCTAAAAATGTACAATGCTCTAAGGAGGAAAAGGTCAATAAGTGTGCATACCTTGATGAGAAAATATTTAATCATGTTTCTCAGAGACATAAAGCTCTGCTACTAACTTAAAATGGCATCATCAACGAGTTCCTGGGTGACCATTTGAGCTGCCAAATCAAAGGTCTCGGGGGAAGCAAGCGATGTCAAAATGCTTCTGTCGACCCCAATACGGCCAATGCCGCCACCACTGTTTGCCTGGACCATCCAGCCTCCGGTGCTTGATACCTACCATGATAAAAGTGAATCAAGATATTTTTGTCTTTTTACTGTAAAAAAAATTGTAAGGATAGATAATATTCAATAATGGAAAAAAAAAAAATTACTGTGCTGCAACTTTCTGGGGAAGCTTTCTCTAGTGCCTTCCTGAAGCTATCTTGCCTGCTCCATGTTAAAAGGTCACATCAGGAAGGCAGGTTCTGTATGGCCTACTGGGGACCAGAGCCAGAACCTGGCCCTCTCACAGAGAGGCAGAGAGCAACAAGTGACAGTCTGCCATCTCACTGGGAGAGCCTCCAGAAAGTCACTGAAGCTGAACAGACAACTGAAGGGTTCACAGAAAACGAAAATCTCAAAAATTGCTAAATTCCCTCAAACTAGCTCAATACTCATTACTGTAGTACCAATCGCCACCACCAGAATTATACATTTATTGATAGGGATAGTTGCAGGTGTTAATATTAACCTAAGTATGTAATTAAATTATTCAAACACCTGGTACTGTATTCCCATCTCCCTTGATTTATGTTAGCTGCTTGCTGTCCAATTACTGACACATTAAATTGACCATTTTAATGACAATGTGATGTCTCACTACAGACAAGTGTTAAAATGTGGGGAAAAGCAAGTGTCTATAGACAGATTCTTAGTAAGACAAGCAAGCAGTGAGCCACAACCAGGTCCTAGTAGCGTGCCTACAAAATGTAGGAGAGAGTACCCCAGAAATGTCATCACTGCCTGATGTTATAATGGGAAGTGACTCCCCTTCCAAACACTAACACCTCGCCTCTTTCTTCCCCCCCCCCCCCCGTCCTCACCGTCTTCCACACGCCAACACGTCCTCAATAAAGGTAAGACATACTGTATTGTAGTACAAAATATGAAATATGAGTAGTATTTGGTATAAAATGTATTTTTAGGTTAATATTTTTTGGTGTGAAACTGATTAGAATCATAAACGGAGATACCACTGTAATATACAGTATAGCACTTGCCAATAAAATGCAATATAAATATATATATACAAATAATTGTTTCAGTTTTATTTTTTATTTTTCAGCTTTATCTTGCCCTTGTGGGGCCCTATTTAGATCATGCAATTCAGTTGTGAGCACCATACTAGAGAACAGACAAATTCTTTACAAAATTTACAGAGAAGGGCAACAAAAAATAGAACCAGGAACTAGAAACCTTCTTTAAAGAAAAAAAGAAAGATATAAAAAAATAAAATACATTTAGATTCCAAAAAGACTCGGGTAAATACTGGTTTAGAAATAGGGTTTATGGTTTATGAAACAGATTACCGGGTGACATAACACAAGTGGGATTGCTGGATTTTTTTAAGTGCAGGGAATATGTATATAAGGCAGCGTCTGGGATGCACTCGGACGCAGGTTCGAATCCTCATCACAGCCCTTGTGGATTTGTTGATCTATATAAGCAAATTTGGGGTGGGTGTAAATAGGAATTCCCTATTATGAGTTAATATTCCTTCTGCAGTCTCTTCTATTCTCATATTCTTAAAATTTGAAGTTCAAATTAATTATAACAAATTACATCTTTAATGGATATTTCCAGACAAGTTCATATATCTAATATTTAACTTCACATCAAAAGTGTTTAGAAACATTTAAATTTGTGTGTGATACTAATTAACAAAATCTCAATACTTATGCACAGGTGTGTGCTAAACCAAGAAACGAGTGTTAGGTCAGTAACTGAAATAAACTCACTTTGAGCCTCTTGACAAATAATTTGTTTTAAATTGCACCCTTTTAAAATGGCTGTAACACAGAACAGAGAAATATATAAAAATAAAAATTAATTAGTTTATATATATATTATATAATCCACAGCCTCTTCAAGACAGTGCCTCCTGTAGTTTTTTGGTTGAAGCACCAATAGACGCCAGCAGACATAAATACAGTACTGTAAGTTGAGAAGGTGTAATTTTTGTTTAATTTAAATGCACATAAAAACTTAAACAAAAATTACATTTCACCATAAATAAAATAATCCTGTAGTAAAGCCTCTCAATATACAAAAGCTAAATGCAGCCGTAAAAAAAAAAGGGACAAAATTACATCAACTAGTGTAATAAAGCATTGTTCAGTGTAGATAACCAAGGACATTCGATAGGTAACCAGCATCTAACTACTATTACTAGCTACAAGAAGCACCTAATGCTGCACTATTCTAGCAAGTCATTCCAATGAGTATATTAACTCACCTGCTCTCTGTGGCTTGGTTTGGTCATCCCTCTCCCTACACCACCACCTCTGCAACCCTTCCCACCCCCACCCCCACCTCCTCTTCCTCCACCTCCCCCTCCACCTCCTCCTCCACCTCCTCCTCCACCTCCTCCTCCTCCTCCTCCTCCTCCTCCAGCACCTCCACCTCCACTTCGGGATGACCAAACTTCACTTTGTCCTCGTGTGCGCACCGTACTGCAAGGTAAACAGTGTTGTTACATAAGCAGTACAAGAGAGCCACTACCTAAATTATAAAATTAATGTATGTTATGTATTGGTTACTTTTGCTGACTTTTACAACTGGAAGATAGAAAAGCAGACACTCTGATATACAGACACATACACACACAAATACCCATTATGAAGACTATAACTTTTGATCCTGAACTGTCTTCAGTTACTCGTATCTTGAGAGGTGACTTAAATTAATTGTACAGTATTATAAATATGTTCTGGCACATAATGTACAACTTCTTTTTTGGGTTTAATCAACAGAAGCCATTGCTGTTATCAGCAATTTGCATATCATTTGTTTAGACTGGATTCAAATAAACTGATAGCCTAAGCTGCCCAAATCTTCAGTATATGTTTGTTCTCACCCACTACCTCCTCACACTGAATGCTTTCCTTGTCCTATTACATTTTCCTTTGAAATCTGTTCAACTGCATGTCCTTACTTAATCTTATCTTGTCTAATCTACTTCTAGGTTTATAAGAAAGGAAGCATGATATAAACAAAGTGCTGCTATCCATAGCATATCCACAGCACTAATCAAATGTGATCAATAACTTTTTAACATGTTTTGATGAAATAAATGCATACCAACAAAGATATACAAGTGCAGACTGGGAAAATCATACAGGTGTCTGTGTTCTTTGCAGCTACACAACACTGGAGCATGGAACATTAAGAGTGCCCTTGACCAAAGCATCAATCAGTGATTTGGATTGAAGGCACATGTACTCTCCGAGATGTAATAATACAGTAGAGGCTGAATGCTGATGCATAACTGCAACCTGGAACAGGCACAAGGTCAAACTGTACCTCCTTAGTGCAATATCAATTTCAATACAATATGTAACTGCCTATGTTACAAGTTTTAAAGTGTATTTCTTAAGCATGAAAGTTGAGGGCCTTTTTTTTTAACCAGTGTTCTTATATTTTGATTTATTTATTTATAAATATAGAAGTTCTTACATTCTTGTAAAGCCACTAGCATGCATAGTGTTTCGGGCAGGTTCTTAATCCTAATTTTCCCTGGAATACGATCCACCAAATCGTTTAACAACCAGGAGCTGAGAGCTTAAGGAAATTACTTGGCTTGTATAGAGCAATTTTAGCTCAAACAATCCCACAATAAAAAGTAATGATAAATTATTTTTGCAAATATTTTCAGTTAACTTCACTATTCAACATGATTATCACATTACTAATCTGTTTAAAACTAAAAAATTAATATGCCAGTTATATACCTCAAACAATATACCTGGCAGAGGTTGAGGGAATTTTTATAAAAACCTTTCATTATCCTCTGCACCATCCTGGCCTCACGCTGAACTAACCCAACCATTTGCATCATCGTCAATCAGTTCAGCCAAGAGATGTATGCTCTATGTTGTATTAAATTGCAAATTTATTTTATTTAAAACTTCAAAGATAAGCACTCTTCCCAGACTACCATAAAAGAAATTCCAAAAGTGTTTACATTCAGCAAATTCGAAGGAATAAAAATACTGTATAGCTTTCGGAATCTTGAAACGGCTCATCCGTAAATTTTGCAAGTAAATTTTATTCAGGAAAGTACATATATAGTTGATTTACAAACATAATGTTGGATTTATAGATAAAGCTAGTACATACAACACCTAAAGCCACTAGTACGCATAGCGTTTCAGGCATTTCGGGCGGGTTTGTAAATTTTTGTAAATTTCACAAACCACGATTACCGCACCCAACGAACGCCTTCACCTCCCCCCTACCCCCCAGAGCTGCTCGCCACACTTCTTCATTCACGTTATACTTAACAAAAAAAAAATTAATAAAAATCAGCAAAAATTATATCGAGGTCTTCCGCCCTACAGCGGCGGCTCCCTCGCCGACCACACATCCTACCACACTACCACAAGGAGGAGACAAATAGCCAGCCATTTGGCCCTTTTGGCCACTAATACGTAGCTATGTACTAACTTTGATGTTGTAGTAGTAACTATATTGATGATAAATGAAGAGTGACTTTTTGACACTTTTCTTCGGCTTGTGGAAAAGATACTTTATTGCCGGGTTACAAATCGGCGCCGACTGTCACTACTTATCTCGAGGTTTACTATTAAGTTACAAAATAAATTGTAATATTCTAATTTATCTTGAAGAGTTATATAAAATTTTGCTGATTTAATCTTTAACTTAGACACAAGTCGTTATTTCATTTTCTTTTTCTGACATATTATGAGTGTTAAATATGATTCTTTTCACTTGTTTACAAAACGCTTGTTTAGGGTTCCCGGTTGGGGGGGGGGGGGTTATCTTGAGGTTATCTTGAGGTTATCTTGAGATGATTTCGGGGCTTAGCGTTTCCGCGGCCCGGTCCTCGACCAGGCCTCCTTTTTGTTACACATCCCCAGGAAGCAGCCCGTAGCAGCTGTCTAACTCCCAGGTACCTATTTACTGCTAGGTAACAGGGGCATCAGGGTGAAAGAAACTTTGCCCATTGTTTCTCGCCGGCGCCCGGGAATCGAACCCGGGACCAGAAGATCACGTGTCCAGTGTTCTGGACGCGTGATCTCAGCCATCGGCTCCCCTGGTGAAAAACTTTTTTTCCCATTTGTCTCCGCCTCCACCGGGGATCGAACCCGGAACCTCAGGACTACGAATCCGAAGAACAGTCCACTCAGCTGTCAGGCGCCCCTTGACCCTCCAGGCGGGGAAGGGAGAATTTGGGGGTGTAAGGTGGGTGGGGGGGAATGGGGTTGTTAGGAGAATGGATGGCGATGTGAAGTTTTAATATAATGATGAGGTTGAGGGGGTGAAGGAGGTGGGGATGTTGAGGGATTCATCTAAGTATTCGATGAGTCGAATACTTACTTATAGTCGATTAATTGCATAAAAGGAATGATAGACCTATTCCATTTATAATATTATCAATTTATAGCTGAAAACGTCATTAATCATGCAAAAGAGGTCTAAGGAATTTCCTTTCCTGACGGTGGGGTGGGGGGGGGAGGAAAATATTGATGCTCTCAAAAGCCATCTTCAAGATTAGACATAATGACCACAAAGTTGGCAACAGTCATCTGGCACCAGAGGTAAGGAAAGGTGCAAAATTGGTGCCAAAAATAAGTGCCAATTAATCATCTTCACTCCCAATATCATATACTCACTTTGCCAATCAATATCAGCCGTACATTCAGTTTTTAGACAGCTACAATTCCAATAAATAAAATAAATGGGGAAAATTAAGCAGTGATAAGTGTAAATATATATTTTAAGATGCTCTGGCAACTGTAAGATATTTGTAACAAATTTGCCGGTTGCAGATCGGGGTTGTAGGGGGTGAAGACGGTCAGTGCGGTGCTTGATGTGGTGGTGGCAGGTGGGGTTGCCAGGACATTATATATAAATACCGTACCGTACTTTACTGCCTTTAGCGTACCGTACTTTACTGCCTTTAGCGTACCGTACTTTACTGCCTTTAGCGTTGAACAAAACGACAGGTAGGTACAGGAAATATCATTTGTATAATAAAATACCAGTGTTATTTAAGCGGCGTACATCCAGCAATGAAATTGTATGTAAAATATATATTAATATATATATATCCACCGAAGGTTATACCTATATATTCTCCAGAGTTGTCCATGTAAAGAGGCTTCGTCAACCGCAGGTAAGCAATCATAAAATCTGAAATTACTAGTTTCTGTGGCAAGAATTGGCCATGGGTCACTGACATGATCCATTGCACCACTGCAATGAATACAAGAATACTACAACAACAAGAATACAAGAAGACAAGAATACTACAACAACTGGGGGTAGAAATAGCCTAAGCTACTCTATTCCTTTGAGATGTATTTCTTTCTTGTCTCAATAAACGTACTTGAACTACAACAACTGGTTCCTGGGGCGGAGAATGTCACTTCTATCGGTTAAGAGTTTTGGGTCATCGACACGATTAGACCCAAGTGATGCAAGTTTCCTGTTTGAGAAAACTTATATAGAAAAAACGAGAACTATGTCACGAGAACATATGCAGAGCTTTGCAATTGTTATAGCATTGATACATAGAAACACAAGAGGACCATTGATCTACACTGACTCAAAAGCCTCATTACAGATTTTAAAGAATATAGGACCAATTGTCCAAATCAAGAGAGCGTTGATAATGTTAACTAATTAGAAGACGTTCTTGCGATTTTTGTCTCACGTTGATATCTGTGACAACGAACGAACTGGCTGGCTGCTCGCGACGCTGAAGAAGACCATATTGAATATACCATACCATGGCATAGAAGGTACAGTGTCTATGGCCTATGACCTTTGCAGGTCGGGGTTCAATCCCCGACCTGCAAAGTGGTTGGGCATCATTCCTTCCCTCCCTCCTATCCCAAATCCTAATTCTGATCCCTTCCAAGTGCTATATAGTTGTAATAACTTGGTGCTTCCGCCTGATGTATATGGCCATTGATGAATATATGAATATCTATGGCCATTGATGAATAGATGAACCCATATCTTGACGGTGCCTAAAGCCTCGGCAAGTCTTAATCCGGCCCTGATCATACCCAAGACTTCTACAAATTGGAAGTCTTGTATTAATCACTAATTAAACTGGAAACATTTGTGTTTACCACACTTCTAGTTAAAGCGATGATCCACCATACACGTAGCTAAAACGATCACCAGTTTCAATAAAGCTACAAAGCTAAACATCAGAAGCTCATCGGTTGTTGACAGATGTGAAATGTCAATTAAAATACCAATTCAAATTTTAAAGATAGCTCCAGGCTTGGGAGGACGTCTAGTAGTGTAAAAATGACTGGTGGAACGATTGGGGACACGAGGCTTTAACACTCGATTGGGGACACGAGGCTTTAACACTCCATTGGGGACACGAGGCTTTAACACTGTTGACACTGTTTAATACTCGGTTGAGAGGCAGGGACCAAAGAGCCAGAGCTCAACTAGGTGAGTATACTGTGGTGGGGGATAGCTTTTATATAGCCTATCGGAGAATACCCAAAAAGCTGACTATTTATTTAAAACATTCCAAGCCTCAAGTTATTAGGTTCGACGAATAGTTTAGCAGGTACTGGATATACTTTTGACAGGTGTTATGACAGCTGGCGGGGCAGTGATGCCAACTTGGCAAATAACATTTATCAACTTGACACATGTGTTAAGCTGGCAGTATATCTATCTGTAAGAGAATGTCTGCTTGTTGCCACCAGACCACACGCTAGAAAGTGAAGGGACGACGACGTTTCGGTCCGTCCTGGATCATTCTCAAGTTGGCAGTCTACTTGAGAATGGTCCAGGACGGACCGAAACGTCGTCGTCCCTTCACTTTCTAGTGTGTGGTCTGGTCAACATACTTCAGCCACGTTATTGTGACTCATCGCCTGCGAATGTCTGCCTGTTTGTTCAGGGTTAGAGAAAAGACGCTAGGGGCTTGTTTCATTCAACTTTTGCAGGGTGACTGTTGTGGTGTGGGGGAGCCTGTGTTGGACCAACATTTCTTCCATAAGAAGGTGAGCGGCTCCTATGGCGAGACCTTGAAATCGATGAAGATGAAAAGTGGCGATTTGAGTCATTTAGACTTTTTCACGTGAACTTATATAAGTTTTATCATCTACCATATGCACTACAATTCACATTACATAGTAACATAATTCAAAGCATCAAAAACACCAACACATTTGAAGTGATTGGGCCACTATCTTTTTTTTTCCATCCAATTCTTTGTCTTATATCTTTAGCCTTACTAAAACTTTCCTGAATTCTCCCTTCTATTTTCTTTTGATTTGTCTTACAAGTTTTAGTCATCCAAACATAACAAAAAAAATACTCTTAAACAAAAGCATATAGTTAACCGCATAGGTCTAGTGGGCCATACGAGGCAGCTCCTATTTATGTCCACCCAAACTCATCCATTATCATGATACTCTGCCTTTTTGATACTCTTTCGTGACGCACAATATCGAAAGCTTTGATAAAGTAAAGATATACAAAAGCCGCAATCTTTTCCGCTATCAGCTGCCGCGGACGTGCAAATGATGAGCCAGACTCCTTTAAGTAACTAGTACTGTGTCTGTACTTTCTCACCTGGGAGACGTAAGCTTAGAGCAGGGATCAGCATTCCGAGAGCCGAGGCAGGGTACTGTGAGACTATTCAGTCCCATCCCAAATCCTTAGCCTGACCCCTTCCCAGTGCTATATTGTCATAATGGCATGGCGCTTCCCCCCCCCCCCCCCTGAGAGATCCCATCCCTTCCCTTGATTAGTTAGTGTACATTTCATTTTTGGAATCACATTTATGGTGAGGTACAATTAACAATGATTTGTAAAGGCTTTACCGTGGCGTAAACCTACCGGTGGTCACTGTGTTCACAGTGCGAGGAATCAACCATTCTCTTAACTCGCCACTCCGTAAAAAATACAATTGTTTTGCCTAACCGGAAACGTACGAAGCCAAGCAAGCCTCCTAATCTATCGAGGCCGATGTTGGTCGATTCTGTTAAAAATGGGTTAAAAATGAATAAAAATGTATTAGGTGAGAGGCCGGGTTCTGTGCATTCACTCTGAAAACACAGCTAAAAAACTTAAATAGGTCCGTAGTCGCCATGTTGAATTCAGCTTGCGCCTGCGCAGTGAGAGATCACCACCGTGAAAATAGCCACAGCGAGTAGCAAATAATAATGTCAGCCACCCAAACGAGCTAGTTACAGCCGCGCATCAACCCGTCCTTGCCCATAGTACACCGCATTTTGATGTCAAAATCCCCCAACGGACAAATAAGTACTATAAATGATAGCGGCTGGCAAACATGCGCGGTCGAGGGGGTTAGGTTCGATTAGGTTTGATTGTTTTAGTACATCATTTTCTGTCCGTTGAGGCAACTGGAGAGGCCGGGGTGGACCGTCGCACAAAGATACAGGTCAGAGCAGCATGCGGCACCAGTCCTCAGACGCCTGAGTCACTCTAAAACACGCGGCCAGTTTCTCAAGCCTGGATCTACGCCAGGATCATCACACTGAAATATACTCTCCCCATGTTTACTTCCTTGCTTTGTCTACACAGTCAACTCGGTCTGACTATCATTGTAATTAGTAATGTACAAGTTGTAAAACTTGTTCATTGTAAAGTCGCGAGGGTTATCAACTTCTTACTCACTATTACAAGTTGAAATTTAAATTGAAATAAGTTTATTGGGGCAAAATACACACAAAGGGATGAGGTAGCTATTTTCACCCCGTTCAGTACATCGTGTTAATACATACATAGACACACATCACAAACAATAAACGTATTACCGAACATTCTGAGAGCTAAACATATATATTTACTCCTTTACACAAGTAACTACTACAAGTGGTTATGCGGGAGCCACTACTCTGTCTTATGATTATTTTCCAGGCGTAGCGTAGGTCTAATTGAAAGCGTAGCCTAGGTCTAATTGAAGCTGTCGTTGCGTCGACAGGAAAATTTCGGTACATTTCCTTTCACCTGATGTTTCTCCTCACCTAGCTGTAAATAGGTACCTAGGAGTGACGCAACTCTTGTTATGAATGAGTTTGGGTGGCGATAAATAGGAGCTGCCTTGTAGGGGCTAATAGGCCTTCGATTAGCTTAGCAAGCCGGTGAGAAAAATCACTGATTCTTTCAAGGCTGCTGAGGACAGCTGGAAAAACAATGTGTTCTTCCCCATGAACCAGATATACGAGTTATAAAACCACACACCCGACCAGCTATAAGGTCTTAAGACAACGCAGAATAAGTTCCTGCAAATCACTACACCAGTATGACTACGCCATGTGCTTACGGCGGTGTTTCCTTGTTGAAGCATAGTTGGCATCAGATAGTGAAGCCCATCAACTACATTTCAACAACGGTCCCAAGTTGCAGCTTCCCTCCCCCCCCCCCGGGCGACCGACAGTGATGCAGCGCTAAATCAACGTTGATCTTAAGTTGTTTTGACGTTACTCGAGCATATTTTGCCCTCTGGGTTACGTTTGTGTCAGCGCCGGAAACGCTACGTCTTTTCAACGTCACATTTTGGTTAGTTTAACTTTACGAAATTATGTATATAGGCTGTATATTATGTATATAGGTATATATCTAATAAATATTATACAGTTAAATGATGTAGAGGGTACTAACGGTTATCCGATATTGGAACAATGTTACGGAAGCCTAGTTTACTTACCGAGTCACATGCTAATTCTTTTCGCGTATCCATGATAAGTTTAAGCCAGACGGTGCAAAAAATATATAATAAAATACATAACAGCTAAATTATATAATCACTGAACTCTTCCTTGAAAAAAATAACAATATTTTGTATACATTTTTTTGTAGATATATAAATAAATTAACGAATCAATGTATCGGTTGTGAATAAGACTAGGCTGTGTTTATGTAACTAGCGTCAAAAAATATTATTTGCTTAGCTAAACGAACTAGAGGGCTCAGTTCCTGAACCGATTATGTGCCTCTGTAATCCTTTACACCCCTATACCCATGGGATGGGGTGTGGGGTGTAAAGGATGCCTCTGTAATCCACCCCATACCCACGGGATGGGGTATGGGGTATAAAGGATGCCTCTGTAATCCACCCCATACCCACGGGATGGGGTATGGGGTGTAAAGGATGCCTCTGTAATCCACCCCATACCCACGGGATGGGGGGTATGGGGTGTAAAGGATGCCTCTGTAATCCACCCCATACCCACGGGATGGGGGGTATGGGGTGTAAAGGATGCCTCTGTAATCCACCCCATACCCACGGGATGGGGTATGGGGTGCACAATAAAGAAAGAAACTGAAATTGACTGTGTTTCAGGATGTGGGGCTCTGGTGGCTATGTTCCCCCTGGAAGGACGCGGGGCCTGGCCAGCGACGCCTCGCGACCACTCACTGCCGGTCTGGGACGCGACTTCGATGACCTCCAAGCATCTTTCTCCTCTCTCAACCCTCTTCAGCGCTCGTCTAAGGTGTATATTGTCATTATTTTTAATTCAAATTTTTGCCCCGAGGGGCGAGTTTATTGGGGAAGCGCCACTCATCCTGTGAGTGGACACACTGCCATAGTGACACTATTGGGCAACGCCACTCATCCTGTGAGTGGGCACACCGCCATAGTGACAGTATTGGGCAACGCCACTCATCCTGTGAGTGGACACACCGCCATAGTGACAGTATTGGGGCAGCGCCACTCATCCTGTGAGTGAACACACCGCCATAGTGACAGTATTGGACAGCGCCACTCATCCTGTGAGTGGATACACCGCTATAGTGACAGTATTGGGCAGCGTCACTCATCCTGTGAGTGGACACACCGCCATAGCAGCATGTACAACACTCCCCAATAGGAAGAAAACCCGCTGGGTTGTTCATCCTGTGATTATCATTATTGTTAGTGCTCGTATTATTAAGTCATCAGTAAGGTTAAGTGCCTCGTATGTATGACCATATAGCACTAGTGTCAGGAACGCATGTATTAGTGAGAACATTTCTGAGGTTATGCGGTCATGGGATCGAACTAATGTATTTTTTGTAAGATCGTTGTATTACTATCGTTATGAACAGTGAATAGATTGTCATATTTGATGTTTCTGTTTGCTAAACATATATTTTGAAAGGTCTCAGTATTAGATCTTGTACACTAGTGTATGTTTTCAACTCGCAATCGAGGAGACCAGGTTCGATTTCCTGCTGTGACAGAAACGGATGAAACCTAATGCACTTGTTCATCTAGCAGTAAATAGGTACCAGAAAGTTAAGCAGCAGTTGTAGGTTATTATATCTTGGGGGGCAGCTCGGGCCAGGCTGGGGGACCTAGATAAACGCTCCCTGTCCCCGACAATGGGAATTATGTCCCCACAGGCTTATGGAAGCTTACCTGGGGTCAGATTCACGAAGCAGTTACGCAAGCACTTACGAACCTGTACATCTTTTCTCAATCTTTGGCGGCTTTGTTTACAGTTATTAAACAGATAATGAGCTCCGAAGCACCAGGAGGCTGTTTATAACAATAACAACAGTTAATTGGGATGATTTTGTTACCTATCGTACGTTACGGCTCGTGATCCTACAGCAGCCAAATTTTAATAAGTCTAGGGTTACGACACAACTGCTGTTCTCAATAGCGAATCACCAGTATAACCCCTTAATAGGTAATGAGCACATAATTAACAATCTTCGTTTAGGACTGAAGAATAGATACACAATATGATAGCTATATATTCAAAACAGTATAATATAAAAACACAGATGGTAAAGTTAACTTGTAGAATATATGAAAAATATTTTCATGGCAAGTAATATATAATAGTAACTATGGCACAACAAAATATAACAGAATATAACAGACTTATCTCCCACATGTTACTCCCCTAGTCCTGTATCAGCTACTGAACTCTCGCTCTGTCGCCACCCACATTCTCACCTCCCGTCTGCCTCATCCCAGGATGAGGGATGGAAACTAAGGACTTTTTAATATTATAAACTAATTGAACAACCACTTGTTCTCAAAACACATAAGACTGCAAGTTACATATAATAGTTACTTACAAAATATATAAGTATAATGACACCTGTTTAATTACAGTATATGAAACATTTTCTAACTAAAATAAAGTGACATCTGGAACTCCCAAACTGAACAGGTCCAGCTTTCCCGTATCAATCAAGTAATAGACGTGTGCAGAGACAACCGCTCTCCTGTCCACTGACGCTGCCACACCACACGACAATTTACCCAAAACACAATGTGTGTACATATACATGCAATGACAAAATAAAATAATATTTATTTTAAATTTATATACGTATTCTGCTAGGAGTACGTAACACTTCCACCTCCAAGAAAAAAAATGCAATGGATTGAAGATCAATGGCATTTTTTCAAAGTAAAATGTATGACACTTGAGATTTATGGTATTAATTACACCAAACATGTATAAGTAATAAGAACACATTTCTGGATAAAAATGAAAACACTCCAAATATAGTCTTACAGGAAACTCAGAAATTTCAGTCTTATGACTATGTTCTACATATGTGTCACTGGAGTATGCAAATTTATCTCTCCAAGGTACTATCTCATTTATTTCACTTTGTTTTAGATCATATTTCACACACCTATCTACAACAGTATCATTAGTAGCATGAATAGAATTGTCAATAAAGGTAGCTGCTTTCACACAGTTATCATGGCAATTTTGCTTTTCATATGTTTCTACTATTTCTTCAAGATCAGTTTCATTTTTCCATGTGATTCCTTTTCCACATGGTGAATTTTCCCAAGACAGCCTTGATTTTCCATTACTCCCTTTTTCTGGAGCTGAACTGCTTAATTGAAGCAGGCTGTATGTTGAGTTGAGTTGGGACTTCTCCTGGGTATGCTCTGACACAGACATCTGCTCATCACTCTTGATCCTCTGTGGAACACATACTCTCGCCCAATGGATACTAAAATTAGAGAAAGTAGCATTAAACCTCACAATTATGCATAAGACTTTCCCATTCATAGAACCTTCCGAAACACAAGACACCGACTTATCAAACCTTTGACCTTCCAACCAAGAAATACAACCCAAGATAAGTGCAAAGACTACCTGATCGAACTGACTCAGATGATCCATAAGGAACACAGAAATCAATTGCCTCATAACTCTGTCATAACGATCAGTGAAAGAAAACAGGCATATACCTAGGCACCATATCTCAATCATAACTCTCAAGACAAGTTCACACCCTCTGATGGTGAACTTGAACACAACACACACATTCATCAACCGTCTAGTCTTCCAAGAGACTAAATAAAACATGCCGAAAACGTTACAATCCTCACCATCACTTCCCAAGTGATTTACGTCTGATGACAACCAATCAACCAAGAGGTTTAAGGGTCTTAACATCTTGAAGATGAACAGCAGATTACCTGGAAAACGCCCAAGGACAATCTGAAACCCTTCACAATGATTAACTCTAGGTAGGATAACCTTATCCTCCAACTTGAATTGCACACCTGGAGCCTCAAACATCTGCTCCCCAGTATGATTTAATCCTTCACCCACAATATGACTCTGAAAATCAACACCACACTTAAGTGGAACATACACTTTTATTACTCGTGCATCAAAATTAACTGGATCTGAATATAGAGACACTGCTCTAGCATAACTCACCACTTCCTCAGAACTGGATGCACAACCTACTTGAGTAAACTCTCTCTGCTCCACCACAAGGCTTGACAAAGATGTCCCACAGTCCATTACTTCACAAGAAAATGGCTGCAGAATAAAAGTAGAGTTCAACATCCTACACACACTCTGACTCAATGTACACAATGAGAAATACTTCCTCCACATAGAATAAGAATCACAACTCCGCAACTTAGATCCAAATGCTGCTTTACCACTCTTAATGATTTTACCAAAATTTCCTCCCATGACTTCTGGAGCTGCTTGGAGTACTGTCTGCTCACAATCAACAATATAACTACCAAGCTGGGTCACATCCTCACAGACAACTGAAGAGGGAGGCTCAATGGGTCTCCATCTACTCAACAGAAGCTGATCCTCTGGCTGCTTTCCCACACTCTCCAAAGCTGGATCTACAGTACAGACTGTCTCCTTGCTTCTCTCTGAAATCTTAGGGTCAGTTCTACTCAAAGCACATAAATGAAGGGAATCTGAAACGAGCGGGCAAGTAACAGGTAGTTTGACCTCCTCCCCTATTATATCACCTTGACTAGGGTGAGGCGGGGCCTCCACAACGGACTTACTCTCGACAACTGATTCTAAACTTGGAGTGAGCGGGAATACTTCTGCCAACCCGACATCTTGTCCTAAACCATTCACTTGGCTGGAATACAGAGTCGTGGCTTTTAAGTTTCTCTCAACTCCTGGCACAACGTTCGTAGTGAGCGGGCAAGACAATGGTACATGGACATCCTTTCCCAATTTATTGGAATAAAGCAGAGTCATAGTATCAAGCTTACTCTCAACAACTAAATCGGCCACACAGGAATCTGGAACAACCACATCCCACTTCTCCACTGAAGGGGTACTGGTTACTGGAACAAATGCTTGAGTAACAACATCAGAACTGACAACTGGATTTATAAGAGTACTGACATCAGCACAGGTAGAAGGGACAAAACCATCTTCTACAACAGGTTCCTTCATAGAACTAACTTCAGCACAGGCAGAATAAACATGGTCTGCAACTGGCTGTTTACACAAACGGGGATCAATCTCACCCACATCATGATTTATGGCCACATCATTACCCAATATAACATCCACACCTGGGATGGGCAACTGTGTACTAACACCCACAGTGCATAAACGTGGTGTAATGGTGGATCTGAAATTAATGTCTATTAGAGGTACAGTTTTACATCCTGCAACACTCTGAAGAACAACAAACTTTCCTGTCTCTCTCTTTTCCACATCAGAAAGAATACTGGATGAAATTATGGTTTGGGAAGCACCTGTATCACGAAGAATAACCACTGGCTTCCACTTTCCATTAATACACAAGACTTCACCTGAAGACATATATGGTGAATACTGTTTCAACCAATTGGGGTTTACAGTTACATGTTTATTAGTAAGTTTATTTTGCACACCTCTGCAATAAATGAGACCAGTTGGTCGTAACTCAGGGTGCAATATAAAACATGAATGAATTCCATGGCCTTTTCTCTTACAATGGGAACAGGACCTTACAGTGGACACACTGGTAGAACCAACTGTAGGTTTAGAAATAACCTTATTATTATTTGACATTCCTGACAATGAAGTAGCAGGGTTAGATTTTGTAAGAGAAGAGCTCATGGGAGTAACTGGAGTACTAGGACTGGATGGATTCTGATAAGGAGTTCGGTGAGCATTATAATTTACTCTACGACTAGACTTAGGTGAAGTGGCCGTAAACGGGGCCTTAGTCAGCAACTCATGCTCATCCGCGAGCTTTGACAGCT